GTTGGTTGGTTGGTTTGTTTGTTTGTTTGTTTGCTTGTTTGTGTTTTGTTTTGTGGTGTTTTGTTTTGTCTGTTTGTGTGTTTGTGTGCGTGTTTGTTTGTTTGTTTGTTTGTTTGCTTGCTTGCTTGCTTGCTTGCTTGCTTGCTTGCTTGCTTGCTTGCTTGCTTGCTTGCTTGCTTGCTTGCTTGCTTGCTTGCCTTGTTTGTGTGTTTGTAGTGTTTGCTTGCTTGTTTGTTTGATGATTCCTTTTTTTTAAATAAGAAGTGGTCAATATGGAATGAATTGGTTCAGGCTGTAAAAAGCTGGTAACTGAAGCACTTTGCGCAAACCTCAATTCTATGGTGTCCAAAAGGTCCAAAAGGGTATTGCGGATGACCACTCCTTACTCTGTAGTGGCTGGCAAGCACGTGCCATCCTTATGCCTCCCGGGCCCAGCGAGCGGCCAGGAGCCACAAAAGTCCCCATGGCAGGGCCGGTTCCTGTCCTTTGTGCAGCAGCGTCGCTTGTCCCGGGCACCCATGCCCAACAAGCGGATGCGCAAGAAGCAGCGCCCCGAGCGGCACATGCGGAACGAGATCGTGGTCTCCGAGTTCGGCGGCGAGTGCGCGGGGCCACAGCTTGAGGTTTGAGCGGTTCGTTGAGGTTGCCAAAGGCGGGGTTTGCACGCTAGTTTTTCCATGTCTATGGCTAATTTGGATCCTGATCTGTGTGATGAAATGGAAGGGTTTATGAGGGAAGCTGGGCAGTGCAACTGCAGCTGAAGCCCGTGTTGCCCACGGTGACATTTTGATGAGATTCAAAGGCTGGGCCTTGCCTTTGCCGAAAGGAGCTTGTTGTTTTCAAGGGACACCACCTGTGGATGTTGCCAAAAAGGTCCCCAGTTGTTTGCAACTCCTTTGAACCAAGCACTTGGAAATGCACTTGCACTCTGCAAGGGGTAAAGGGCAATGCTGGGCGTTTGTGATTGGACGTGTGATCATCCCCGCCCCCTTAAGAATAAAAACTGGGGGAGGGGGAGGGGGTGACCCCTGAAATCATATTTGTTGTTCACGCCGTTTATGGTACCCCCTTCCCGTTTTCATCCCTCAAAGCAGGTTTATGGTCAGTTTGCGGAAGCCCTCAGGATTCGATTTTGAAACGACTACGGCAAGTGTTAACACGCACGTGTCCGTGGCTGCAAGGTATCTCTCAGCAAGCACGGACTGTTCCCAAGCAGTGGACTGAACAGACAGGACGACCTGGCACCTACTGGCAGTCACTTTGATTTGATGTGATATATTGTAGTATCATGGTTCAACAACAACTACTATGAAAACACACCACACCCTGCGGTGTTTGGACTTTACTTGTGCGTTGCACATTTGTTGCTTTATTGCTGCTTTGTGCATGGGGTCAGGAAGGTGGTTAAACGACTAATGCATTTCCATGTCATGTGGTTGTGATCCCAAGAGAACCGAGCCAGGTTGACAGGTAAGCCAGGATGATGGTGGGACTCGTTTGGGCAGAGTGGCTGGGTATTGGGGGCAAGTTTATCATCTATAGACGGACTATGTTTTGCCAGAATCAGCTTGGCCGGGGCGTCAGGGAGCTCAATTTTCCGTGTGGTGCGGTTCAGGTTGAGGCTGGAAGAGCCAGCACTGCATGCAATGCGAATTGCTATGTTTGCGTTTTGAACAACATGTGAACTAGGTCCATAAATGGCCACTGGCGTCCTACTGTTTTCGCAACACCATGCGAGCCCAAGGCAGAATTTGAGTTGAGTCCTCAGGGATGTATCGCAACCCTTTCATACGATCCGTAAACACCCGTTGCGAGGGTTTCGTTGACACACACACACACACACACACACACACACACACACGCAAATCTTGCTGATTTCCCACACAAATCGGAGGGCACATTTTGCGTCCATCCGGGAACCTGGCGGAAAGTACGGCTCTGTAAGGTGCCAAAGATGCTTACCAGGTTTTCAGCAACTTTGAGGCGGGGGGAGTCGGCAGTGGGGGGAGGAACACACCAGGCCAACAAAACTGAGGCATGGCGAGGATTGATGCGGAACAAGCTGAACAACAGAATGGGCATAAACACTGAGGTAAACACTGCTGCAAATGATGTCCCTCAAGGGGTCACAATTCAAGTTCATATCCAGGTATCAAAAGCCAAAGTTGGGAACACTGTTTGGTGCGCGATTGAGACACAAGGACATCAGCTAGCATTTGGCACACGACATGTTAAGCTCAGCTCACAAAAGGCCCGAACAGTCAAACAAGTCCCTAACTTGTGTCTTGTCTTGCGGCTGATTCTGGTGCCCACTGAACGCGCATGAAACCAACACAGGCGACCATTGGCTGAGTGCCTCAGGTAAAGCCTTCCCATGCTGAACTGGGAGGTTGAAGCTGTGATCAAATATGAGTGGAGAGCAGAAGCTGTAGTTGCACTGGCGTGTTTTTTCAATCCTTGGCACAAGGAGCCTTCACCACTGGTTTTTGAGGTCGCTGTTCAATGTCTGGAGTCAGAGTGGTCCATGCTCGGCATGTTGTTTCGACCTTATCCTTTGGTGCAGTACGGTCGCCTTTCGATCCGTTCGGATTTTGTCTGCTTTTTGTCTGGAGAATCGGCTCACCAATTTCAAAGGGACTGAATCAGGATGGTTCCGGCACAAGGAAACTGTGACATGAGGCCAGCATGTAGCTGTCCAATGCCAGCTTTGTTCCCTTTGGGTCCTGCGCCTGTGTGAACTTGATCCTCGCAAACCCGAACCAACCCGGAAAATTCCGTTGGCGGTACGTGATTTCCTGCCTGATAGACGCCCTGTTTTCACAGAGAACAGAGCCCAGCGCGATTGGTGACTTACTATTTGCCCTGAATGGAAGTCCTTTTGTCAAGATGGTGAAGCCATAGGGCGTGGACCACGTGGATTGCACGCATGCAAAAGGTTCTGCTTGGAGATCCAGCATCCAAGTACTCTATGGGTTGTCTACTCTGACAATCCACTCTTTTGAGGTTTCATGCATTTGGCTTCCTTGCATTTATGTTGCTTGTGCAGCATGCAAGACCCTAACGATCGGCGCAATGACACGCACTACGACGAATAGACGTCTCCAGCTTCCCTACCGCAGAACAGTGCCACCAGCGGTTTAAATGAAACATGTCCCCTGCAGATGAACATGGATTCCATCTTTAGAGGGCTGTTCTTCTGGGCCAACCTTTTTCTTCATTTGTTACTGGGGACTGGGGTTTCAGAAACCGCATTTCTGAATCATGTACCCGAGAGCTGGGTCAAGGAGATCAAGTTAGCCAGGAAGTTGGTCCAGCTTCCTGTAGAATGTCCTGCTTCAGATGATTTGCAAAAGTCTCCTGTAAAACGATGTTGCATATTTTAGAGTAGACTAAATTGACTAAATGGGTGTGGCGTGTTTTACGACACCCACCAGAATGATGGGTGGGCTTCTGGTTTGCCTTTAAATCCACCCCAAGAAACCAAATCAATACTCTCAAAAGACAGATCTGAACATGCTGTGGATGGACGAAATCCTGCACCATCTAAGAAACCCTGGAGTGGTGACTCCCCTGTAAATACCAATAACCAATGGTTTTCCATCCTTTGCAAGTGACGCGACCGGATTTCGTCCACCCACAGTACCATTTTAGGAGTGCTCCAGTGGCCGATTCAGGGACCCATAGTTCCCCTTGCCGCAGGCATCAGGGGGCGCGGAGCCCAATGCCGCGCTGGCGCGACTGCGGGCGCTCAAGGCGCATGAGAACGCTGGGCCGTTGGTTAGACTTCCGGGCAGCTCGTTTTGCCGTTTGAAGCATCTCAGACGAAGATGAAACCAAAATTGATGAAGAGAAAGCATCAATGCTTTGGCAACTAAATTGGTGAAGATCAACCAAACATCTTACCAATGTCTTTGCCGCATATATATATATATATATATATATTATATGTATTATATAATATATATATATATATATATATATATATATATATGATGAGTTGAGCATTGAAAGTCAGCCGGTCACAGTGAAGGCGCCATCGATTCGTAGGCGCTGCACACCGGGGTGAACGAGTTCCCGGAGGCGCTGCGGAGCTGCGCTCAGGCAGGACTTCGGATGCGCCACCCTCGCCTCATTTCAAAGGGCCCTCGGTTACCGTTTGAGTTGATTTTTGTTCTTTTCTGGGGGGGAGGGTTAGTTGGGTTTAGGTATGGTTATTTTAGCCATTTTTTTGCTGAGTTCGGCATTGGTCAAGATGGCAACTGAGTCCAAAGTTGATTTTTTATTATTACTTTGGATCTTCGTCAAGTGGCTCGGACCGGAACTGGGGGGAGGTACGTGTGGATGGGCCTGTGGAGTTCTGGCTGGATCTCAACTTGGGCAGCTCAAAGCTTGGATCTCCTTGGGAGATCCCAGATCTCCTCCAAGCACATGCCATATTTCAGGATCGTAATAAGCAGAACCTAAAACATATTTGAGTTTGTTTTGTGCCCCAGGGTCAAGTAATGAAAACATGGCATACTCATGTTTGCTACATGTGGACATTCAGAGATTGAGGAATCTCAATGTGACAAAATCCCGTTCACCGGGCGTGGGATGGCGAATTCATTTCCGAGCCTTGTGACAGAAAGCTGGATCAGCTGGTGCTGCGTGCCTGGGTTTGTTTCCTCATTACAAGGAGAACCAAGGCAATCAATGATTTTTTCTGTTTACCCTCCGGAATCCCTCAGAGGGTTGGTTCCTCAGCAATCAGTTTGGCGGAGCCTTATGTACAGGCATTCTGGAAATAAATGTTTTGCTCCCTTTCAGCAAACAAGGATACAATGTTCCCCACTCGAAGCCATTTCTCCCGCGGACCCCCTGCGACAGATGTTCTGAAGACATACCCAGTGCCCAGTGCTTCCACTCACTGTAGGGTAAGCTCGATTTGCGAATTCCAGGTTTGCAGGATGGGTTCGTCTGGTTACCTATTTATACTTAGTGGGAACTGAATGGAAGCAGTGAGATAGTTTCTGGCTGAGGCCACACTCACAGGCGCTGTTGTTATTTTTGTTGTTTTTCCCCTGCGGGGCGGGGGGGGGGGGGTGGCGCAGATTCATCCTTTGAAGGATGGAGTCAACACAAGAGTGAGATCAGCTTTCTCCACCACCTGGCAGTTCTGCAAGTTTCACAATCACAGAGAAGGATCCTTCCTGGACAAGTCAACACAAGTAGATCCGTGGAATGTGGTTGGTTTGGACCAAAGTGCCTGAAAAGAGACGCATGCTCTTCTGCTGACAGCGGAGCTTGCGCCAACTTGAGGCATGTCCCATTGTGGCTCCATACTTGAAGGGGCAGGGTACTTGGTAACTGCTCAGTATCGTGACCCTTGTATCCCGCTTAGTTGTAAGAAGTGGCTTAAAGCCAGAGGTACTACTATCATCAGATGAATACCCCCCAGAGTTACTATTGTCATTTGATCAATAATCCCCCCCTTGCAGGGGGGGGAATGTTAAGCAGATGGTGAGAGTTCTTCATGGTTCTCAGGGCCCTGCTCCGTATCGCAGGCCATTCTCTGCGCCGGGGAGTGCCGGTCCAGCTTTCTGCTGGTCGATGGCTGCTTGGACCTTTTGGCCACCATCGCGCAGGAGGCGAAGTGGAGAACTCTTCGGAGGCGTTTTGGTGATCAAAAAATGAGGGAATGGCCCCAAACTGCATCATTGATGGTTTGCTTCAGGGGATCCCCAGATTTATTCCCACAACACTAAGTGTGCACTTGAAGTTTCACCTCTTTGTGCACTTGCAGTTTCACCCAACTGCGAAAGTAGATGGCCCCCTTATTGCCCCCCCATTTTGGTCACCCCATAGGATACTGATATCAAGGAAGTTGTGCTAGCTATTTGCACCCTGGTGTAAATGGAACTCCGGGAAGACTGGGCCTTTGGTGAATCTCGGAGTCCCCTTAAGTGATAAAGCAGTCCCGTGGATGCTGTATCGCAGAAAAGGGCCTTTTGCCACAAACATGGTCTGACAATCCCTTCCAACAACAAATGTTAATCCCGCCTACTGTTTTTTTCTGTTGGTGGCATGATACATATATGACAATATATATATATATATATATTATATATATATGGGTATGTATATATTATATTTATAGTAAGAAGGTACCAGCGGGTCCCAGGAAGGTTCCAGTACAGTCCTCATCCAAGTGGGGTGCCCCTTTGGCCGGGGGCAAAATACTTGAAATTTCAATTTGCCGAGTAGGGAGTTACGATTTCAATGGCACTTTTTTTGGATTTGTCAACTCAACTTCAAAAAGCGAACTGAAATCTCAGTTTACAGTTTACAGTGGAAAGAAGGGAAGCGCTGAAAGTCCCCCCTTCTCGAGGGCTGTTTGGAGTTTGGTATTACTTTGGCATAGGGTCAGTTAAAAGTGACAGGGTCGAGATCTGTTTTTGGAGTTTTGCCAGGGCAAATTCTGAATAATAGGAGTTGAATCAAGAACATTGATCAAGGTTTCAGCCAACTTTTTCCAATGTCACCACCTACCTTTCGGCAAGGGATGACAGCGGGTGCCACCCCCCAGCTTAGTCCATGTGTGACTACAATATCAGAGAATCGAATGGACGCCCTAGCATTTCACCTTGGAACTATCCCAAACTGGTCCCAAAGCAGAAAACAACCACCCATGGACGTAGACAAATTGAAGTCCGTTTTAAGATTATGGTACCGTAATCTTTCAACAACGCTCATCCACTTCAAGTCAGGTTCCAATGTATTTGGGGTTTGAGCCTATTCTGAGGGACAACTTCCATGTTTCATGACTGGTCTGTGGTGTGACCAAATCGCTCCTTAAACCTACTTACCAAAGTTACCCTGTGACTAACATGATTTTCCAGGTACCCCCCGGTGCTATGGTAGGAAGAGTGGACCTTTTGCTCAGGGCTTGGGGCATTGGTTGGAAGGGTATCCAAACGGCCAGGCTGGAGCGCAGTCGCGCTTGCTCGCCTGGCTGGTGCAGTGCCTGGGAGGGGAGGCGAGGTCTCATCAGCGTGTCTTTTTGAGGGGAACCTTTTCCAGGTTGGTTTAGATTCTAGAGTAAAGGGAACCCAACAGGAAATCACCCCGTTTTGGCGGATCCACCATTTTGATGCCAATCTTGGGCCAGTTGGGCATGTGGTACATATTGCCGCGGCTTTCCCCATACTATCATGACACCCCTCGCATTTGTTGTTATCCATGTTGCCACCATCATCCCTTCTGTCGGGTTTTTTCAGTGCTGCAACATAGCTACTCTTCAGAGTCACATGTAGCCCCGGAAAGCCCAATGATTGTAAGACCTACGTCCATTGGTGACAAATTCCACTGGAAAAGGCTGCCGTGGGATCCACTCAACCGGAATCGCGCTGGCGTGAGGCGCAGGCGCTCAAGGACCGGGCGGCCAGGTGTCGGGCGGCCAGTCTCTTGTGGCGCCTGCTGGGGGGCCCGGCAATTGGAGGAGGTTGAAAGCGGACAATTGGGACGTGAGCCTAAGAAGGTGGTTGTGCTGCTTTGGGCCGGCTGGTTGGTTGGTTGGTTGGTTGGTTGGTTGGTTGGTTGGTTGGTTGGTTGGTTGGTTGGTTGGTTGGTTGGTTGGTTGGTTGGTTGGTTGGTTGGTTGGTTGGTTGGTTGGTTGGTTGGTTGGTTGGTTGGTTTATGGTTTGTTGGTTTGTTGGTTTGTTGGTTTGTTGGTTTGTTGGTTTGTTGGTTTGTTGGTTTGTTGGTTGGTTTGTTGGTTGGTTGGTTGGTTGGTTGGTTGGTTGGTTGGTTGGTTTCTTGGTTTCTTGGTTTCTTGGTTTCTTGGTTTCTTGGTTGGTTGGTTTCTTGGTTGGTTGGTTGGTTGGTTGGTTGGTTGGTTGGTTGGTTGGTTGGTTGGTTGGTTTGTTGGTTTGTTGGTTTGTTGGTTTGTTGGTTTGTTTGTTTGTTTGTTGGTTGGTTGGTTGGTTGGTTAGTTGGTTGCTGGCTGGTTGTTGGTTGGTTGGCTAGCTGGCTGGCTGGCTGGCTGGCTGGCTAGTTTTGGCTGGCTGGCTAGTTTTGGCTGGCTGGCTAGTTTTGGCTGGCTGGTTGGCTGATTAGTCGGTTGGCTTACTGGCTGACTGGCTTGTTGGTTGGTTGGTTGGCTGGTTGGCTGGCTGGCTGGTTGGTGTGCAGACAAGGGCAAACCGGTGTTCTTAATTGGAGGGGCACTCATGCAAAGGATGCGGCGGGGTAAACCCAAGAAGGTTGGGGCAAGTTGGCAGATGTCACATGTAACGAATCGGCCATCGGATATGCATTTGGTTTGGTTGCCTGTTTATCCCAGGTTCGTTGGGTAGTTTAACTTCAGAACACGTGGCATACTGACGGGCCCATGATATGCTGCCTTTTGTGCCCATCATGTACGTTCGCAACAATGATTTATGTGTCCATCACTGTGCATTCAGAGTTGTTCTATGTAGTAGTATGTTCAATAAACGTCTCGGCCAAAGGTGCGCTTCATCGTAGATTTCACACACCCCTCTCCCCATGTGTGTGTGTGTGTGTGCGTGTGAACGTGCGCGCGCGCGATGTGATTTAACGTGGTGTGGTGTGATGTGGTGCGGTGTTGTGATTTAGCGTAGTGGGGCGTGGTGTGTGTGTGTGTGTGTGTGTGTGTGTGTGTGTGTGTTTTCAGTGTTTGCTTTCTTGCTTGGTCTGTGCTCGCTTGCCTTTGTGTGCATTGGGGCGCATGTTTGTTTTGTCTGTCTGTCTGTCTGTCCGTTTGTCCGCCTGCGTGTCCCTCCCTCTCTCTCTCTCTGTCTGGCTGTCTGTCTTTCTGTCTGGCTGTCTGTCTATCTGTCTGTCTGTGTGTCTGTCTGTCTGCCTGTCGGTCTGTATATGTGTGTATTTGTTTGCGCGTTTGCTAGTTTGGGTTTAGGTTTGGGTTGGGTTGGGTTCGCTGGTTGGTTTGGTTGGTTCGGTTGGCTTGGTTTGCGTGTTTGTTTGCTTGTTTGCTTGTTTGTTTGTTTGTTTGTTTGTTTGTTTGTTTTGTTTGTGCGTTAGTCTGTTTGCTTGTTTCTGTTGTTTTGTGTGTTGGTCATGTTGTTTGGCACGTGACTGAGGCGGAAAAACTGAGCTTCGGGGCATTGTAAGTGTGTTTCCGGATGATGTCAGCCAGTCCGATCAGAATTGTGTCTATAGGCAGCTTGATTTGCCACCCAGCGACATTGTGAACACTTGCATATGTGAGACAGGTGTTACATGACCATGAGGTCAGCAGCCTGGTCTGCCAGGTGTGTATATATTTGTTAAACCCGCTATGTGATCTTGCGCACCCATAGGATTATCGTGTCTGTCAGGCAACAATCTGCAAAGACCATACATTTGTTTGTTCATTGATGTTTTTTTGTTTTTTTCCCGTCAGTTTCTTCCTTGATGCATGTATGCAAGTAGTCATTCACTAAATCACTCATTCACTCATTGACTCATTCATTCATTCATTCATTAATTCATTCATTCATTCATTCATTCATTCATTCATTCATTAATTCGTTCCTTCATTCATTCATTCATTCATTCATTCATTCATTCATTCATTCATTCATTCATTCATTCATTCATTCATTCATTCATTCATTCATTCATTATTCCATTCCATTCCATTCCATTCCATTCCATTCCATTCCATTCCATTCCATTCCATTCCATTCCATTCCATTCCATTCCATTCATTCATTCATTCATTCATTCATTCATTCATTCATTCATTCATTCATTCATTCATTCATTCATTCATTCATTCATTCATTCATTCATTCATTCATTCATTCATTCATTCATTCATTCATTCATTCATTCATTCATTCATTCATTCATTCATTCATTCATTCATTCATTCATTCATTCATTCATTCATTCATTCATTCATTCATTCATTCCATTCATTCATTCATTCCATTCATTCCATTCATGCAATTCCATTCATGCATTGATTCTCATTGCACCGTGACCATCCGGGACTCCCATTTTGAGCTCAATCAACCAAATGCCCTTTCGAAGGGTAGAAGTCCATGATGGCCAGAGCGAGCAAGGCCAATCCCATCTGACTCCAGTTGCTATTCTATGAATCAGGAAACCTAGGAAAATCAAGGGCAACCTAGGAAACCGCTCGAATTGAACAATCCTGGACATCCCAAACATTACACCGGAACACTGATTCACTCATTCACTCATTCACTCATTCACTCACTCACTGGTCATCGCTCAATTAGCCTTGGTTGGTATGGTAGCTTGATGCAACGCGGGGCATTGTGTAGAGCTTTGCATGGTTTGTGGAGCTGTCAGCCGCCCAGTTTGCCGGGACCAGAAGAGCTCAACAGCCAGGCTGCGGCCCCAGTGACGTGAACCGCATGTCCACCTGGCGCAAACTCCTCCTGCCTTGGACGCCCGTTGTTTTCTGCGCAATATTGAACGATCTCCTGCAACAGCGCAGACACGATGGGCTTGTGGGAACAAGAGCACGGCAATGACAGGGGAGCACTGCTTGGAAGGCACTATTTTTAGAATTGAACCTTTGCGGTGTGAGGTCTTTGCTCCCGCACAAGGTGTTTCTTTTGCGCAGGAGGATCGCCTACCAAGGATAGTTCTTCTGTCTACAAGTGATAGAGTCGCTTGGTAGCTTGAGCGCAGTCCTCTTGCCATTTGCTGGTGCTTCCGCCATTGGTGTAGTGCGCAGGCCCCTGGGTTCCTGATAAAGAAATCATAGCCGCCGGTTGCTGAACAGTCTGGCTTCGCATGGCTGTTGCCGAGCGGGCCTTCCTGATGTGAAAAGCTGAGAAGTGAAACCTGCGGATTTAGTATTTAGTGTCTTTAATTCTAGCAGCAACTTGCGACGGCGCCGTGCTCCACAACAGGAAAGCGGCAAATGCTTCAATGGTGTGCGTCTCATGAACAGCTATGGCTGCTAGACGTGTCAGTGGTATATTCCGCCTCGCCTTTCCAGTGTTGCTTTGTTGACTTTCCTGCTGGCTTATTCTCATCCTAGATTGTTTTGAACCATTGCGGTAGTGCTTGGGTTAAGCCACCACGAGTAGAAACAACTAGTATCCCTTGCGGCCTTGTTCGGCACCCTGACCCGGGGCGTTCTTTTGCCCACGAAACATGAACCACACCATCTCCCCGTCATCCCTTTCAGAGGTTGTTTTTTCTTGTTTTAGCCACCCAGGCCTGCGCCCAAAATGCGTGTTCACTATGGTTGGCGGGGTTAAGGGAACTCCGATGATGAATCAAGCACACCAATTTTGTTGACTGAATACCAGCCATTGGCGGGAGGATCCGTTGTGCAAATATACCTAGGAAGTGCTGATCCCCTGAGGCCTGTAAGGTAGCCCTAGGTCGTAGCTTCCCTTGCGGAGAAGACCCAAGAGTGCAAGGGAATACTTGGATGTCCATGGTTGTAAGTTGGCTAACCCCAGTTGCCCCAGTTATTGCCATGGTTGTAACCCACTGAGTGTGCTGAGCAACCAAGTAGATCCCGGTTGCCGCTAGATGCGTTCATGAATCAATCTTCTAAATGGAGTATGCCGGCTAGCAGGTTGCTGATGGGGTATGGCCAACCAATGTTGTCAACCTTCCAAATGGGGTGCACCGGCAGTATGATGCAATTTATATGGCTGTGGGTCAAAAGCAATGGTACCATTTTGGGGTAGGTGAATTCACCACCCATTTCAGAACCTATTTTAGTGGGGATTGGGATGTTTATTGGGGGTACGATTTGGATGTTGACTCATGGCCATATCGCCCACCGAGGCGGCCAATTGGGGGTGACAAGTCCAAGCCTCTGAGGTGTCCCGCCTGGTGCTGGACGCGGCGGGTATGGCGCTGCTGGACTTGGCCAAGGTGGGTTCTGGGCTCGGAGCTGGGGCCGTGTCTTTTTTGCGTCGCCCTTTTTGGGCGTGGCGTTTAAAATGGGTTCTTTTTTGCTTGTTTTTTTGGAGGAGTTGGTACTCCTTCCTGTTTTGGGTGCTTGGTTCCTTTTTGCGGGGGGTACCCCCTCCCATCCACTGACAGTAGAGTTCTGGAAGACCAGACGGGAGAACCTCACCCACATGTGTTCTTGTTGGGGAACAACCTGTTTTGAGGTGATTTGCAAAGCCTTCAAGGGGGAGTGCCCCCAAAGCGTTGGTTCCTTTAGTTTTCCTTGACACTCCAAACGTTTTTTGGAGTGCGTTGAGAGCGACATTAACATATCAGTCAACCGTTTTAGGGGTTCCCTCTTTCGAGACGGCTCCATGTGTTGGGGAGGGAGGGACTGCTCAAATGGTTGTCCCCAAATGCAGATGGCTCGCCCTTTTGGAGAGAGGCCCGTACGGTTTTCCGTTGAACTGCCCAAACATGGCACACTATCCGCTACCAAACCAGACACCCCCACGTCCTTTTCTTTGGGTGCCTCCTTTACCCATTGGGGCGTTTCTCGTGTGTTCTACGGGTTTGTTGGGGTTCGTGCTGTCGAATGACCATAGCCCATTGCATCCGTGATGAATCACTCTCGCAGTCTGTGATAAGTCAGGGAGGCGAGTTGCCATTTCTTTCGAGGCGGACAGCCACTGATTTGGGGCGATTCGGTTTGATTTGTCTTTTCTTGGGGCGCACATCTTTTGTCCTTCTCCCGCGCCGATGTGTCTTGGGTAAATGTTGATCCCTGATGAGTAAGGGTCATCTATTTGGCAGGAGTGCTGGAAGAAACGAGTCCAAGCAATCAACATGGAGCGCCTTTCAGTATCATTTGTCCATTCGAGATTCCGAGATCTATGCGCAGGAAACCATCGCTTGATTGTTATACGAGGTTCGACGGTCAACATGTGAATTATTTGTCAATGGTATCCATCTCCTCACGAGGAATGTCCACCTGTTGATCGGTGAATGGCCCAAAGATAGGTGACGCAAAAGGATGTGCTCAAAGATCCTGGCATACACGGTATGCATAAGTTTGGTGTTGCTTCCTTTGATGTTCGCATTTCACATCAAATTCTTGCATTTCCTGGAAATTGGCATCATTACCTCGGGAGGCAAACAATGAAGCAAGAAGTCGATCAACATTTTTTTCACTGTGGCTTGTGGGGTCCCTCAAGGGCCAATATAAGCCATATTTGGTGGGCGTATACCGTATACCATCCTTGCGGTTGGAGCCAGGGGCGTACCCAAAAATGGGTACATAATACTGTGGATGAACAAAATCCTGCAAGGATGATGACCCCCTGCAAGTATTGGGATAACCCGCCTAACTGGTGCGGGATTTGGGTGTTTGTTCTTTATTTTTTTGGAGGGTACATTTTTCAGGTTGGCTGAGGGCAAACCAAAGGAAAACCATTGGGAAACCTTGGCCCAAATCTGGGGATACGCAGAAGTCATGAGCTGCTTTTGATGTTGTTTCCTATCTAGTCAACCCAAAGATCTATGTTGGGGTCCAAATCCCTATGCTGACACCAGAGGACAAGGCGCCAGCCATTCGCTTGGCGGCCACACGCGGCCTGAGCCGACTCAAAGGCCGGCGCCTTCGTGTCGTGCCAAATGAGCAGGTGATCAGCGCAAGCCGTGGTTTTGACCATCTCGGCTTACCTCCAAATGCTGGTTTGGAGCCTAGAGGGGATGGTTTCACATTTACCCTCTGCAAAATCCAGTGGTTTACATCCCCAAGCCACCAATCCAAACCACAAATTGGGGGGGGGGGGGTTACCTGACCATTTGCTGGTAAGTGTGTTTTGTTTTGTTTGTAAAGCCTATGTAAACTTTGGCCATTTTAGTAGGAGATAGTAAGTGGTTCTGTCATAAGCCTCAAACTATGACCATGTTGGCAGAGCGAATGGGTTGAATGGGTTTGGGCAAGAGAGGTTTCTAAGCACCGGCAAGATATGGTGTTGGATAGAGGCAACTCACGACATTCCAACGCGTCTATCGCGGAGTTAGTCCGTTTACCGCCACCATGTTGGTTCCCCTTTCTCCCTTTGTTTCCCAAGGTTCCAAGGAATAAAAATTGAACAAAGGCATACACACACACACACACACACCATTTGGACCAAGAAAGTAAAGTATCCCCTTTATTTCTAGTTTCCCCCTTGTTCACCCAGGACTCCAGCACCGTTTGGTGTTTCTTCCTTTTACTTTCCCCCTTCACCCGGGACTCCGGCCGCGTAGGCGCGAATTCCCCGCAAATTCCCCGCGGCTCCGCGAGGCGTGGCCTTCCGCTCGGCGCTGCTGCGGCTCACCGTGGACTGCACGCCGGCGGTGCGCACCGCCGCGCTGCAGCAGCTGGGGCCCAGAGCGGACCAGGCCATCCGAAGCCGTCGGGTTGCGGCCGATTCGGGCTTCAGTCGGATGGGCTGAGGGAAAAAATGGGAAAGGGGGCTGGGGCATTTGGCCATACGACTTTTGGGGCCAGCTTTTTGGGGGTCGCTCGAACTCGCTTTCTGCTTGGTGGGCTCGGGACCCAAGAAACATGGTCAATCCCATTTGATGGTGTCCAGTTTTAGGTGGCTCACGTTTGTTGCGCAAGTGTGGTACAGGGTCGTTTCCAGCCACTTGGGATTTAGTCAACCTCTTGGAACAATTTGCTTGAAACTTTCAACTGCACCATAAAATACCAGTCACTGAACTCTGCGAATAACCGCAAGCAACCACCAACCGCCTCCTTCAAGCCCCCTTCCGCACTGCGACAGGGTTTCTGTCAGGATAAGGCACCCCCAAGAATGCGGTTTTCCATCCCGAATTGCTTGGAGTTTCGCTTTGAGACCACCCTGCAGATCATGGAGTCCAAACACCCTTTTCCGCGGGACCTCCCAGTCCATGTGGCTTGGATTTGGAAGATGGTTTCCGTTTTTTGGGGGGGACGCTCCGCTGAATTGTGTCCACCGGTCCCTTTTTGGTTTCTCGCGCCCGCCGTATCCAAAGGCCAGCGGGCGCTGCTTGGACGCCGCGCTCCGGGTGCGGCTGGGACTCTTCGAGGCGCTGGCGCAGGAGGACAGGGGAAATCGGCCAAACGCAGCCGGATGGACACGTTGTGTATCTTCAAGAGAGGCCGGGGGTTAAGTCAACCCCAGGTCGCCAAGATGAAAGCAAGGGCGGCGTCTTGGTTTGATGTCTCCCTTTGGTTATCCTTTTAACAGGAGTCTTTGGAGCAACCCAAGACGCACGTCAGGATCTACCAGAGCTGCCAGTGGAGGTTGTGCAGATTGGCTTGAAGGATGCCAACGCCGAGGCGGGGCGGTAGCCGACCTTTTGACGGTTGTGGCTTTATGGATGAAAAGCTTGACCTTTGCTTTGCATGGTTGTTAGGCTTTCGATTTGATCCTGGCAACTGAATCAAGATACAACCAGGATGATAAGTTTTGGTTTGATTAGTTTACAAATATGATATGAGGCCTTCCCCAAAATTGGTTTGGAGGCGGGCTGATTCATAGACAGCAACCACGGGGCCGGACCTGCAAAACACCCTTCTCGCTGAACGGACACTTGAGATATGATATCACATCAAAGGGACTGCCGAAGGTCCTTTCGTGTACTGCAAACATGCAACACGAAGCCAGCGGAATGCCATACCGCTGCACCCGTCCTGATCCAAGGAAATATCATGATGGCATAGAGGTAGACAGGTAGGCAGGCAGATAGGAATGTATGGTCATTCTGATAAACTGCAAGTGCGGGTTCCGCTACCCCCAAGCAATTTTTGTCTATGTGGCCACTATAGGGTACATGCCCAATTTTTGCCGAAGCCATGGGTAGGTTGGACCCTGCTTGAATGAAGGATGGTCCCCATGTTTAAGGTCCGGGCAGCCTGCGTGTCGATGCTGAATACTTGGGCAGCGCGCCGGGAGCCAGGCGGGTCGCTTTGCGTGTCTCAAAACCTCTTTGAGGTCCTTAGAGTTTGTCTCAAAATAGGGGAAGCCACCAAATAAGTGGTTTTTGCCAGTGAAGCCACCCCAAACAGGGTGCCCTCAAAACACACCATGTTGGCTGAGTTTCCTTTTGCTGGGGGTTTTACAGACACTTACAAGGCACGCTTCCGGTTTGACACGGAACAGAGCAGAAACCAGCCATTTGGAATCCCAGGGTCCTCAGCTTTGCACATTGCCAAGTGGGTCGTTATGTGTGTGTGTGTGTGTGTGTCGCTGCATATGCGAGGGTCCGTGTTTGCGGGCCGTGTGCCATTGGGCTTTGAGGCTCTCCAACAGGAGCGACGTGGCTCCAATAGAAGCAAGAAGCCTGAAGTCAGGTCGCCGTGTACCCATTGTATCCGAGCCTGACAGTGAAGTCCGAGAGTGTTGCTGATACACCTTCGTTGTTTTAGTATTCCGACTGGAGATTTACGAAGCAGATCTTGCTGAAGGCACGGCATCACGAAGATTCACTCGCTATCGGCTAGTATTTCTCGATTACCCCGCTGCTCCGACTACCTGTTTGATTAAGCTCATGCCGTGGAGAAGGGCGCGAGGGAACTTGTGTATTTGCATCTTTCCAAGCATTGGCTATGTGGAAGCATGCATCCACGGGAAGGAATCTCATGTTCCTCTGACACGCGCACACATGTTCCCAGATGCCGGACTGGCCAGCGTGCTGTTATTGCGCAGAAGTGTCCAAGCAAAGCATGGCCACTCCAGAAGGCCTTTGCTCTCCGCATATCTGCAGAACGATCTGACCTAGGAGTACAACAAACGCCCTCGCCCGTGATGAAGATCCCTTACTTGGGGGTTCCTCAGTCCAGTTGGCGAATCGCGGTTCGGGGGGCCCTAAGTGGGTTCTAGCAACCAGGTTGCCGCTTGCACCAAGGGACTGTCATGTGTGTGTGTGTTCATCCGGGGGCCCAATAGAGCTCCAGGGTGAACGTGCATGGCCCAATTCTCTTCAAATGAGTTGGAACTGTGCCATCATTCCCCCAGCTGCAGGTAAGGGGACCCTAAGAAAATCGACCCCGAGAAAATCAAGGTGCCAAGGAAGAAAATGGTTGGCGTAGCGCTGGGATCCTTCGGAGGCGAAGCCTTCCTTCTGGTCGCCGCACTGGAAGAGCCCCTGGCGGAAGCGGCGCTGCGCGGGCTGCTGGCCACGGTCTCAGACCTGGGGGTTGGTTTTAAAGGTGGAAGTAGTAGTTTTTGCTTTTTCCAGGGGGGCCAATGGAAGATTGCAATATTGAATTCATGAAATGGATTGTGGCGGCACCCAAGATGAAGGGCTTCTTTCATACGGTCCCAGAAGCAAACCCCAAAACAGGAACAAATGCATAGAAGCATCACCCCCGCGCAAAATAAAGGATCTCCACAAGCTGTCCTTTTGCCAAGAAAAGTACCACCTCACCAAAAACGAGCACTGCCAAATTTAGTGGCTGGGACCCCCCTCCCGCATGGTTTGTGGACATGAAACCCTTGAACACGATGTCCACCAAAAGGGCCCTCAATTAGTGCAGCAAAAGGTTTACCTGTTACTTGCAAGTCCTTTGGACAGGCGAGTTGATACTAGCCTTGTTCTTAGCCACTTATAAGTTTTCCATGCCGAGCTAGCTGCTTTGCATCTCATTACTGGGGCAGGATCAGGGCTTTAACCACTCCCAAACTGGGCGAAACAAACATCTAAGCATTTCGCCACAAAGACTTCCTCGCTCATGAACAAGAATCTGAGTCATATGCCATGTGAAGGACTCGGCCAGTACTTTCATCGAAGAAGACACCGCACTATGTGATGCATCTTTGCTTTGCTTTTACAGGCTAAACGACTTCCAACATAGACTCTCTTTTTTTTGGTGATGTTATATGATTTGGTTGGTTGCATCTCTGTCCTTGCGGAGCTGGGTTGGTCTTGGACTTGCAAATCTTATTCAGTACTGCAAATTCTAAATGTTGTGTAGCGAAGATGTGATCTCAGATTTGTCGTGCTTGTTTTATTATTGCAAAATCTTAATTTAGTAATCCCAAGACTTGGGACTCTCAGATTCCTCTTGCTAATTTAGTAGTGCATATCGCCAAGACCCACCTTCAGATTCCCAGACCTGTTGGTGTCGTTGTCGTTGTCGTTGTCGTTGTTGTTTTTGCTGCTGTTGTTGTTGTTGTTGTTGTTGCTGCTGCTACTGCTGCTGCTCCTGCTGTTGTTGTTGTTGTTGTTGTTGTTGTTGTTGTTGTTGTTGTTGTTGTTGTTGTTGTTGTTGTTGTTGTTGTTGTTGTTGTTGGTTGTTGTGGTTGGTTGGTTGGTTGGTTGGTTGGTTGGTTGGTTGGTTGGTTGGTTGGTTGGTTGGTTGGTTGGTTGGTTGGTTGGTTGGTTGGTTGGTTGGTTGGTTGGTTGGTTGGTTGGTTGGTTGGTTGGTTGGTTGGTTGGTTGGTTGGTTGGTTGGTTGGTTGGTTGGTTGGTTGGTTGGTTGGTTGGTTGGTTGGTTGGTTGGTTGGTTGGTTGGTTGGTTGGTTGGTTGGTTGGTTGGTTGGTTGGTTGGTTGGTTGGTTGGTTGGTTGGTTGGTTGGTTGGTTGGTTGGTTGGTTGGTTGGTTGGTTGGTTGGTTGGTTGGTTGGTTGGTTGGTTGGTTGGTTGGTTGGTTGGTTGGTTGGTTGGTTGGTTGGTTGGTTGGTTGGTTGGTTGGTTGGTTGGTTGGTTGGTTGGTTGGTTGGTTGGTTGGTTGGTTGGTTGGTTGGTTGGTTGGTTGGTTGGTTGGTTGGTTGGTTGGTTGGTTGGTTGGTTGGTTGGTTGGTTGGTTGGTTGGTTGGTTGGTTGGTTGGTTGGTTGGTTGGTTGGTTGGTTGGTTGGTTGGTTGGTTGGTTGTGGTTGTGGTTGTGGTTGTGGTTGTGGTTGTGGTTGTGGTTGTGGTTGTGGTTGTGGTTGTGGTTGTGGTTGTGGTTGTGGTTGTGGTTGAGTGGTTGTGGTTGTGGTTGTGGTTGTGGTGTTGTTGTTGTTGTTGTTGTTGTTGTTGTTGTTGTTGTTGTTGTTGTTGTTGTTGTGGTGTTGTGGTTGTTGTTGTTGTTGGTTGTTGTTGTTGTTGTTGTTGTTGTTGTTGTTGTTGTTGTTGTTGTTGTTGTTGTTGTTGTTGTTGTTGTTGTTGTTGTTGGCTCAACCGGGGGGGGGGGTTTGCCCGGGATTTCAGCAGCGCAACATACTGTAAAACGCAGCACGTCGGACATGTGACTTCCAGTTCGTCCCATTTTTATTAGGACATTTGGCTGTCGGCAGAGTCGAAACTATACCTGTGTTCGTTGTCTTGTCATCAGTGCGTTGCAGCCTTGTGACACACGATGCCTTGGCACATACCGCGGCAGATGGGTGCGCGACGTGCTGTAAAACGCAGCCAATATTCCACATATCATTGGGCATGTGCATTTCTTCGCAGATAATGACTGCGCTTTTGTTTGGCATCTTCATGTCAGCAAGATGTTCTTAGTCGAACGTCGGCCATCGTTTTTACAAACATCGCGCGCGCGACTTGAAAATCACGGGCAAACCCACCCTGGCCGTTTTGTTGCAAAAGCTGCCAGCTGGTAAGCACACCTGCCAAAAGCTGCCAACTGGTAAGCACACCTGTTCAAGTGCGCCCGCGTAGAACTGTATCCAAGACCACCAACTGGTAAGCACACCCGTTCAAGTGCACCCGCTCAGAACTGTATCCAAGCCCACCAACTGGTAAGCACACCCGTTCAAGCGCACCCGCTCAGAACTGTACCCAAGCCCACCAGAACTGTATCCAAGCCCACCAACTGGTAAGCACACCCGTTCAAGTGCACCCGTCAGGACTGTATCCAAGCCCACCAACTGCTAAGCACACCCGTTCAAGTGCACCTGCTCAGAACTGTATCCAAGCCCACCAACTGGCAAGCACACCCGTTCAAGCGCACCCACTCAGAACTGTATCCAAGCCCACCACCTGGTAAGCACACCCGTTCAAGTGCCGCTCAGAACTGTATCCAAGCCCACCAACTGCTAAGCACACCCGTTCAAGCGCACCTGCTCAGAACTGTATCCAAGCCCACCAACTGGTAAGCACACCCGTTCAAGCGCACCAGCTCAGAACTGTATCCAAGCCCACCAACTGCCCGTTCAAGCGCCGCTCAGAACTGTATCCAAGCCCACCAACTCACCCGTTCAAAAAGCGCTGCGCCCGCTCAAAACTGTATCTAAGCCCACCAACTGGTAAGCACACCCGTTAAAGTGCACCCGCTCAGAACTGTTTCCAAGCCCACCAACTGGTAAGCACACCCGTTCAAGTGCACCCGCTCAGAACTGTATCTAAGCCCACCAACTGGTAAGCACACCCGTTCAAGTGCACCCGCTCAGAACTGTATCCAAACCCACCAACTGGTAAGCACACCCGTTCAAGTGCACCCGCTCTGAACTGTGTTTGTCAGTGTGTTGTTGAGATGTTTGTGCGAATCCTGGCCTTCACCGGAAACATTGCCTGCCTCGGGTTGGTTTGTAGTTTGCGAGAACACAGCTGTGCGGGGCACAGAGGTTTTGGTGTCCAAACAACGCGTTTTCCATGGGTGGGAACCACGCAGTGTTTATGACTTGATAGGTGACATTGTTCTTCGGGCAAACCCTCCCCGGCCGTTTCGCATTGTTTTCCCGGGCAAACCCCCCCGTCCAACCTTGTTGTTGTTGTTGTTGTTGTTGTTGTTGTTGTTGTTGTTGTTGTTGTTGTTGTTGTTGTTGTTGTTGTTGTTGTTGTTGTTGGTTGTTTGTTGTTGTTGGTTGTTGGTTGTTGGTTGTTGGTTGTTGGTTGTTGGTTGTTGGTTGTTGGTTGTTGGTTGTTGGTTGTTGGTTGTTGGTTGTTGGTTGTTGGTTGTTGGTTGTTGGTTGTTGGTTGTTGGTTGTTGGTTGTTGGTTGTTGGTTGTTGGTTGTTGGTTGTTTGTTGTTTGTTGTTTTGGTTGTTGGTTGTTGGTTGTTGGTTGTTGGTTGTTGGTTGTTGGTTGTTGGTTGTTGGTTGTTGGTTGTTGGTTGTTGGTTGTTGGTTGTTGGTTGTTAGTTGTTGGTTGTTGGTTGTTGGTTGTTGGTTGTTGGTTGTTGGTTGTTGGTTGTTGGTTGTTGGTTGTTGTTGTTGTTGTTGTTGTTGTTGGTTGTTGGTTGTTGTTGTTGTTGTTGTTGTTGTTGTTGTTGTTGTTGTTGTTGTTGTTGTTGTTGTTGTTGTTGTTGTTGTTGTTGTTGTTGTTGTTGTTGTTGTTGTTGTTGTTATTGTTGTTGTTCGTTGTTGTTGTTGTTGTTGTTGTTGTTGTTGTTGTTGTTGTTGTTGTTGTTGTTGTTGTTGTTGTGGTGTTGTTGTTGTTGTTGTTGTTGTTGTTGTTGTTGTTGTTGTTGTTGTTGTTGTTGTTGTTGTTGTTGTTGTTGTTGTTGTTGTTGTTGTTGTTGTTGTTGTTGTTTTTGTTTGTTGTTGTTGTTGTTGTTGGTGTTATTGTTGGTGCTGTTGTCAGCGTTGTTGGCGTTGTTGGGGTTGTTGGCGTTGTTGGTGTTGTTGGTGTTGGTGTTGGTGTTGTTGGTGTTGCTGGTGCTGGTGCTGGTGTTGCTGTTGCTGTTGCTGTTGCTGTTGCTGTTGCTGTTGCTGTTGCTGTTGCTGTTGCTGTTGGTGGTGGTGGCGGCGGCGGTGGTGGTGGTGGTTGTGATGGTGCTGGTGTTGGTGTTGCTGTTGCCGTTGCTGTTGGTTTTGTTGGTGTTGTAGGTGTTGTTGGTGTTATTGTTGGTGCTGTTGTCAGCGTTGTTGGCGTTGTTGGGGTTGTTGGCGTTGTTGGTGTTGTTGGTGTTGGTGTTGGTGTTGTTGGTGTTGCTGGTGCTGTTGCTGTTGCTGTTGCTGTTGGTGGTGTCGTTGCTGTTGGTGTTGAGTGTTGTTGTCGTTGCACTTCAAGAAGACGGGCTTTACTGGGAAGCGCTTGGATAAATCACCCTTTAAAGTAAAAGGTCAAGGGCCTTTTGTTGCCGGCCGGTCTTTTCCGGCAAAACGAGTTCAAATTCAAGCGTCCTCGAAAGTGTAACAATATTCTGCATAGGGAAACCACGTTCTATTAAATTGACCGTGGGAATGAAAACAAGTCCGACAAAGCCAGTGCTGCCCAACCGCCCGGAGCCATGCTATGGACACGAAAATGATGCTTGCGTGCTGGCAATCTACTTTGTGCTGAGTGGCCCACGGTTCGAAATGTCTCAAACGAATACCAAAAGGTGGTGGGTATGGTTCAACCTGTCCGTCCCCCATTTTGTTGTGGCTCAAAAGTTGGTACCCAAAATGGAACCCTGGTAAATGGAAACACGGACTAAAACCTGCGGTTGCCTGTTGTTTTAATTTGGACGCGCACCCATTTGACACACAGCATACCGGGAACTGTCAGTCCACACCGTCGGACGCCTTTCCTCACTGCGAGGCTCTTCCGGAGTGGGCCGAGTTCCGGGATGGTGTGGCCGCAAGGAGGGAATGGGATTCCACCCCGTTTCCCCCCTTTTGATGGGTGAAATGGCCACCCTCCAGAAGGCGCTGTCTCATTTTGCACCAGGGGTTTCCGGCATGAGTTTGAGAGCGAGGCACCCCTGACAGAGTCGAGTCCCCCTCCAGTTTGTCTTGTCTATAGCCGTCAGCATCCATGTGTTCCGTTTGCGCTGCAACAAAGTTGCGGCCATTTGTGCTTATTAGATTCCATTCAGTAGTGGTTCAGGGGCAAGTACCTTGGAAGAGACACACCGCTAGCCACTTGGAGGCTGATCGACGGCGCAGCTCAGTGCAGTGGATTCCCTTACCCAAAAATCGGGCCCAAAGGACCTGGCAAGGACGTTTCCCATGAGCCGAACGGTCCCTTGGTACCTTCTAAAGAGCTGCTTCAAGACCTTTCAGTAGCCAAAAAAGCCCGGCCCAAAGAAGACTTGGATCCTCTGAAAGTTCCACCCTTGTCCAATCCCTTTTTGGTTTGGTGGTTGCCGAAACCAATGAACATGGAACGCTACTTTCTATTCACTTCGGCCACTTAAGGGAATAGTCGACAAGGCTGCCCCGTTCTGTTTTTGATTGCTTGGGGCAGTTATTCCATGAACTGATTTACCCTGATTCTTCATTGTTGGCCAAATTACATCTGTGTTTTGTTCGGGTGTCCAAGTGCATGTTTGTAGTATTTTGTAGTCAGGGTTTGGTTTGAGAAAGGAACTCTTGCCGATGACGCCTGCCATGGGCAGGACACCCAGCGACGCATCATCGGCGCTGATTTGGCGTGTGGCGACGCAGCGACTCGGCCGCGGACAGCCCACCTGATGTGTTCTCAAATGGGTGACTCCGCCTCTTCGATGTTGTTTAAGGGTGAATGCAACTGTAAGGTTTCACTTTCGGGGTGGGGGGGGTCCATCAGTCAGGTCACACCCAGGGGTCACAACCTATCAAGGACACAAGGAAGCTTGGTTCGCTGGCGCTTTCTGAGATCCACCAGGAAAGAGGTTGCGCTTGAATCCACTTGATCCACTTTGCTCGAGTGACTTGAGGATAGTCAGACCCCCCCCCAGTACAGGTTTATTGGGAAATGTCACGACGTGCAGCTCATCCGAGACAGCCTTCATCATCCCTTATTGCTTAGCATCTTCCACAGCAAGACTATCTCAGTTGTGACCTTTGTTCCATGTTAAACCTGCTTGTTTTCACTGCTTGATTCATCCTTTGTCAAGGCCCCAATGGTTATCCTTTCCGGGTCCTTTGGGCAGGTGAATTTAAGTCAGTTGTTTGAGCAGACCTCAGACCCGGAAGCATCGAAGGCTCGCCCCGGAGCTTCCAGCGGAGGCGAAGCCCTTGTGCCAACAGGCCTGGCAATGGGCGTGGCAGGTCTTGGGACTCTCCAAATCGGGAACCCCGGCAACATGGGTGGTTTCCTGCTTGGCTTAAACAATCAAGCCCCACGCGTCACCAGGGCATCAATCATATTTGGACAGGTATAATCACAAGGGGGAATTTTGTGACCTGGAGCTTTTGGGACTTGTGCCTCCTGAGAACATGAGTTTGTAAGTGAATGGGAGCAGGGTCCGAGTTTGGCTTCGGGTTGTTTCCGCCATGATGTAAAACGTAAAACCCGAAGGGTTCTTCCAGTGGTAGTTCCTGCGTTTGCTTTGGGGTCGCATCTCCGGGCCACTGACACTGCCTTCAACAATTTTGCGAGACCATTTTAGCGGTGGTTGGTCCAACAGTCCATCATCCCAAGTTTGGCTCTGCGTTGGCCGCATCCTTTCTGGCGCAATTCAGTCACAGCCTTACCTAACAGGGGAGGGGAGTGCGACGACATCACCCATGATGAAGGTCGCCCTTGTGGGGGTTTTGCCACATGCTCGGCTAGTAAATCAATTCCAATGTCCCGGATAAATAGTATGTGGTTCAGGCAACCCTATTTGGATGTCCGCCCTACATATGTTTGGTCTCTTATATATAATTTAATACATGTATGTGACCGTCCACCACCCCCTCCCCCAAACTACCCTAGAGTAGAACAAGGGTATACACGGTACATGCCCTTTATCTAGTGGCTATATTCATGTATAAATATATAGTAATTATACATGTGACTTATGTGGTGGCAATGCATCCCAGGTACTGTTCTTTGGGTATAAACCAACTTAGTAGCTTGGATGTAAGCCAGACCTGTTGTGTGTTTTCAACTTGCATTGGGTGAAAGTGGATGGCACAATTTGCCACACGCCCCCAGTGGCAAGGCTGCGGAAGCGCTGGGGGAGGAACAGTTCGAGGTGCTGCGACAGGTCCTCCGACTGCTGCTGGAGGACACATCTCCCCGTCGATGATTTGGGGCAGGGGGCTGTTCTTGCTGGAAGTCCATTGGTTTCACTGATGCACTGGCTGATTTTGGGGGACAAGCAAATGAGCAGGGGCTGTGTGTGTGTGTTTTTACACAAAACAACGAGCAAACCGGCAAACCGCCGGAAGTCCATGCCCCAGCCAGTTCATTGTCCTTTTTGTGGGAAGACTGGGGAAGACGAGACAAATGAAATTGACAGGGCGCACTTTTGGGTTTCTTTGTCAGAGGTTCGGGAGATAATTCATACTTCACCAATCGAAGCACACGGGTTCCGTTTAAAACAAAGAACGACGGGTCATTCTGTCGTGAGTTTTCGGCGAGGTCGCGATCTGAAGTACCCAAACACTTGGCTTCCCTGTGCAGCAGAGTAGACACACATATCTGCATATAGCATACATACACGCATGCGGAATTGTCTCCAAGAAGGATAACCACACAGCAAGGTGTGGTTTCTCTTATAGGTTTCGTTCAAACAAGCCTCAAGGGTACCCAAAAAGACACCCATGGTGTAGATTTGCCGCGCCTCACGTGCCAGAGCCTGCTTGATCTCAGGAGGGGGAAGGACCCACAGAGGATTTGGCAGAGGCGCCTTGGACGGGAGGATAACTCACTTGACAAAAAAAAGCTTCGTGCATCAGAACTGGGGACAGACCATGTTAGAAACCAATCAGGGCAACCAACTGGCAACCAAGCACCGCAGATTCCTTGTGCTGACACATTCCCTCTTGAAGAAGTCTGTCACAGTCTGTCACTCGTTAGGATGGTTCCCTTGTATATCACACTTGTTTTTGTTCTGGACAGACAGTCTACTAAACTTGGCTGCATAACTGTTGCCACTGCACTTAGTTGTATTCGCCTCGCGAGGGCTTTGGTTGGCTCACAAGTTCGCGAACCTTGAATGCGGGAGAGTCATTCTATCATTCAGTATGTATGTAGAAACAACTACATACCTGGACCAACCAAGGGCACTTCTTTTGCGACTGTCTGCAAACATGCGTGCATTTCCTTGAAATCCATACATTCCTGAGAACTCCGTCGGGCTAAAATAAACGCCGTTGTGATTTTGGACGGGAACTTCTGCCGCCGCAGCAAAAAAACGCCGTTGAATTCCAGAAACGCCGGCAGTTTGCAAGAAACGCCGTTGGCCCCTGGCTGATCCAAATCAGCTCAGGGCCTCGGCGCAAAGCAGTCTCAGAAGGTAGCAACATGAAGCGCTGAACACAACACAAAACTGACTCTCGCCCCCTTGCAAGGCGGCTTTGGTCGATCTGTGACACCTGGATCACTCCTCAAGAAAGCGTTTGCGATCTCGAGTTCCGCCGTTGGGACGCGCGTTTCCGCCGTTGGGACGCGCGTTTCCGCCGTCGGGACGCGCGTTTCCGCCGTCGAGACGTAGGTTTCCGCCGGTGCAAGTCAACACATTTGGCGGTAAAGCTCGATGGGTATTCCAACAGGTCGCACCGAGTTTCACCAACCCACAAAGTCTAGCACAAAACCTGGCAAAGTTGCATAGTCGCGGTCAGGTGCGCAGATCTTGCAAAGCGGCCCACGTCAGGCAAAATGCCCACAAACCGCAAAAACGCCTTCGCAGATTGAAAAACGCCGCCACAACCAGCTCCCCATCAAGTTCCGCCGCTGGACGGCAAAAGGCGCCTTTTCGAGTCTCAGGCTGAAATGTTCTTCTTTTGGAGTTTATAAATTTGAGCAAAAACTGTACTTTTCTTGCAGGCTCAACGCAAGACACAGGAACATTCTACTTTTTCTACAAGAATCTCACGTTCAGCTCCGGCCCTGGCACTGGAGATTGTCATGCTCATGGGCCAAGAAAATCCATTTGAAGGTGTGCAATTCACCAAGGACAAAAGGTCCGCATTTCCCCAAGCAAATGTTGCGCTGATTTCCGCACATGTTCCGCAGATTTCCGTACTTTTCCCGCCGATTTCCGTGCATTTCCCGCCGATTTCCGTGCACTTGCGGTGTCTGCGTTTTGGCTCAAAGAAAATGCAAACTCGCAAAAGCGGCAAGGAAGCTGTCACACGTTGCCCCACAGCAATAGGAGTCGAATGACCTGAAACGGACTTAAGTATGACGGGCCATGTAAATTGCAAACTGTCTTCATGTGCATCCATGTGCAACACAAACGCTCACAGCCTGCTAAAAGCGATTTCCGTCAAATTTCCTCAAACATGTACATTGACTTGTTTTTTTCTGCATGCACGGATTTTTTCAGTACTTTTGGAGGGTTCAGCTTTAAGCTTGGTGTTGTTGTTCGTTTATATGTTAAATCTATATGTTGTCACTTCTGATCTATGTTGTTACTTGTTGTGTTCGTTGTTATCTTGTTTGGCATCCCAGGTAGGTAGAGTCTAGAAAAGGGCGCCTGTCATAGCTATTGACACACACTAGGTTGGCTGCTTTCTCGTTCATGCGTGTGACTGTGACTATCCCGGTTTATGTCCTGTGTTTGACAAATTGATTCGTAGGATTTGGTTCCATCAGTCCAAGTGCTGGAACTAAAACAAACAAAACTTTGCGGTTGCCACAAATCCAACCTTCGCTCCCCCCGCTGAAGTTCATTGGTGTCGCTTTCGGGCTTCGTCTCGCGTGCTCGCAGCTGGCGCTGGCGGTGCTACGCATAGCGCCTGCGCGGTGCGGGCAGCGGAGCCCAGGCTCCGGGGTGGACGTGTAGGTGTGTGTGTGTGTGTGTTCTGTTTGGGTTTCAGGTTCAGGTCGGATTCAGGGAAGTCCAGAAGGACAACCACCAGTTTTTTGGAGTTCCCCCATTTCGGCGCACATCAAAAATACTGCCAAAACCAGGGCAAGGTACCGGCAGCGGACGTGTCGCCAGAAGCCCTGGCAGCTGTCGATGCCGTGGCCAGGCGCCCACCCTGCGACGAGCCTCTTCAGCCTGGCCATGGCATTGCTGCGACGCATGGTGCCGCTGGAGGACGAGCCAAAGACGGAGAGACGTGAGGTGAGCCTTTTTGGGGGTTTGGCTCAAGGGGGACGCAACAGGCAAACCACAACTTGTTTTGAAGGCGTCCCAATTTTGGACACATACCCGTTCAGATGTCTCTCACCGTTTTCTGGTGGTTTGAAGTTTGGCGGGCAGCAACACGAGTCGTTCCCCATTTTCCCTTGTCTCCGCTCTTCTTCTCCGATCTTCTTCTTGCTCTCGACTCTACTCTACATTCTGTCTTTGTTCTTCCCCCCCCCCCCAGTTTTTTTCCGTGCTCTTCTCGCGCTTGAGCCTCTGTCTTCTTCCCTTTCCTTCCAATGTTGTTTCTATTTTTTCTCTTCACGTTTGGGCCTGTTTATTTTGCATCCTTTTTCCTACCCTGTTGTGGCCAGCAGAGTTATTGGGGCACGCCTGGAACAAAAGAGGGCACCCTCCGAACGAAGGAAGCAAGCCACTACGCTTTAAAGGGAAACCTCCGAAGAAGACGGCGAAGAGGGCGCGGCTTTTGGACATACCACGTGTCCAGGAGCTCCAGATGTTGGTGGCTAGCCTCCTGGAAGACTTTCGCTACGGCCTCGAGGCACCGGGTAGCTGGGTTTGACAAAACCGGCTGTTCCTGGATCAACGTGAACCAAGTGCCCCTTTTGGGGGTTGGTGTCAAGGGAAGCCACAGGGGAAGCCTCAAGGGAGCGCAGACTCCCGCTTGAAAATGCTATTGGGCTGGATCGTTGTTTGTTAAGACTCGAAGAAGAAGCAAAGACTCTGTTCCCACTCTCTTGCAAGAAGTTATGCTTGGGCAGGGGGCAATAGGCTGGTAGAAATGAGTTATTGTGAATCCTAGGTCCGAAGTCCCCGAATGGGGGGGTCTAATTGTTGGGGCTCTTGGCATCCCTTTTCAAAGGCGGCACCTTGGGGGGCAGAAGGCCCTGGCGTCCAAAAAGGAGCCAGCCATACTTTTAACCCCCAAATGCTGGCAGCCTGAAATTAAATGACCCGAGCTCTTCTTGCCAAGTGACTTCTATTTGGGTCTTTTCTCAACTCAACCTGGAAGATTGAGCTCGGGGCTTGAAACCGTATGGATTTGTGTTGAACCCCAGAAATAGATGACTTCCCTTTTTGGTTCCTCTGCAAACCACCCCCAAAGGTTATCACTAAACAACTGGACCCACCGGTGTCAGCCGTCATCCGCATGGAACCTCAGAATGTGAGATCTCTGGCAGAAGCTACAAGCATGGACAAGACCCTGAGAAGATCCTTACTGCTTGCCAATCCTGGCACATGGGTATGTCTTATTTTCAGGGTACCCCTTTTGGTCCGTTTAAAGGAAACACCACCCATTTTGATTTTGGGGTCCCCCAAACAAGACATCCACATCAACAAAAGCTGCTTAAACGTTAGCGCAGGCCCAGCGCAAGCTCGCGGAGAAGACACTGAGAGGTTTGTACGCTGGAGCCTTATAGCCACTGCCGGATCTGTGATGAAACGTGGCTTGTTCTTCAGAAGCGATGAACAATCATTAATACTTGCTTTGATCAGTAAGTAACCCCCAAGGTCGTCAAGGTTTAGAAAAAAAACAGGTTATGGACCCCCCCAATTCCGGTCCTCGGTCATCCTTTCCCTGTCTTGGCCAATAGTATTGCAACAGGAACGCAAAACAACGTTTGCTTTTATTTGTCCAATGCTGCATGTGCGGAGAGACCTTGAAGAGGGGGAGGTACCCTTTGCGAGCTTGTCAAACCTTAATTGTGAACCAATTGTAGTAGTCTGATTGCTCTGACTGGATAGCATGTTTTTTGGAGATGCGCTATGGCGATCCGTGGAACTCCGAAAGAAAATAAAGTTGGAAGAAGCATTTTTTTGTAGTGTAGAATTGTGTTTTTCATTGTTGGTAGCACTAATCGGAGTGTTTTTGGTACTTGGTGAAAAACGATAAATGAGGGGTGCCTAAATTTGCCAACCTTGCCTACAGTCTGCCATGGGAAATCGTCTTAGTGAGGGGATACAGGGGGTGCAGGTTAGCATGAACCGGGGGGCATCACGAACAGGATCCCAACTTGATTGTTCTTCAGGTTTCACAGTGGATGTTTAGAGTGTAGTTGTGGTTTTCCTGGGCTGCTCAACTTGCAACCTTCGACACACAGAAAGCCCATGTGGAAAGGAACGAAAGGCGGCAAGAGTCAGTGAGACAGATTGTTGGAAGATTAGGCTGCGTAGCCCTTGGCTAAGTGCTGCTGGAAATTATGTGTATAAAGTCGGCTCCAGTCTCTGTTGTCAAGTCTTCAGTCTTCAAGATGCCTGCCGCCCACATGCTGGTTTCGGGTAAAAGCAATGGGTCTTTTCCAACAAGTGGTACTGCACAACTGCCGGCTGACCTTTGCTCCCCCGCGAGGAAGAAGCAAAGGGATCCATGAAAAGGTAGAGCTTCCAGTCCAAGTCAAACAAAGAAAACATGACGCCAACGTTAGGAATCTGTCCAATAGAATCGATTCTTGTTATTTGCTCTTCAAATCAAGCCCAAGGATCATTGACATCTACCCCTGCGAAGCTCAGGTGATCGAGGCGGCGCTTTGCCAGTCCAAAGAGACTCTGACGCTTGGCCCAGGGCTCGGATTGTCAGAACGCTTGAAGCGAGAAGTTGAAACCGAACAGGGGGATCCTTGTGGTTGGCTCGTCTTTTTTCGAGGGTGCCCGTGTTTTGGCGGTGTTCAAGTGAATCCACAAGGAACACCACAATTTTCGGGGGTCCCCCAAGAAAAAGATATGTGTTTTCCTTTCGCAAGCATCGAACAGTGTTGCTGTCACAATCTTATATGACATTCCCTAAAGCGGGGGCCATGACACTTGCTTCATGGCGCTTCCCTAAACTGGTGCAATGTTTGGATGTGGGCATGATGGGACATGAAATGACCCTCTAGAACCTCCGCAGCGAAATGCAAACGCTTAGAGCGACCCACCCTCGAGTATTTTGAAGCTCTGGATAGTGCAGAATTGTTACCCGTTTTCAAGGTCATATTGAAGCACTGGTGCTTGAGCCATCAGCTTCATTTCAACATATTGATTGTCCGCTGACCTAGAGGTTTCGTACCGCGCAACTTGGACATCCTTGAGAACTACTAGAGGCCACCATCATTCGTCATGTAAACAAGCAGGGGCCCTGCAAATGGTTTATTGTCCATTGGCGTTTTTGGGAGTCCATCGGTCAAAGTTTCCTCAAGATACTGGCACGCTTCCGCTAAATTGGAGCACGGTGTTGCCCGTGTACTTCAAGAGGACTTAGTCAAGTGGAGAACGAAAGCATCTACAATGTTTGGCTGGAGCATGTAAGATGGAGTCTGACCTGGTGGCGCACTCTAGGCTTATTCTCCCGGTGGCTCCGCTCCTGCACATGACAAACAAAGCGGCATGGAGGGAACATTAGGCCACAAGAATGGTTCGCAGAACCCTAAGAAAACCTTTGCGGAAGGTTCCTTCTGAACCTTTCCTGTGGGGGCCGTAAGTTCTTCCAGGCTTCCGGTCGGTCCGCAGGCGAGAACTTGCTGGAAGACTGGCTGCGGCCTGCCATGGACCGGGCGATCCCATCCAGCAAGGGGTGTGATCAGGTCTGGGGTCCCCCCCCTTGGAAGAAGGGCCTAAGGGGCAGTAGATCCTTTTGGAAAGACCCGCTGGAGCCAAGGACGGCCCTCAGATGAATCAAGCCATTGAAGCAACGTGCGCCACATCCCGCAGTGATAGTTAGAAGGTGTGTGAGTGTGGACACCTTTTTGAGGGGGCGTCCGTTTCTCAATTTTAAGACTTGAAGTGCCAACTGGGACAGCAGTTCTCGATCCTTGCTTTGTCATGGTGACGATTCAGGCAGACCAGGCATCTTGAGAGTGCCTTGTTTGGCAGCCCCAACTTGGCATGTCAAAAGCGAAAGTGCTGAGCTGCTGGTTGTCCCAGTCAATCGCAAGGATTCGCAAGAGTATTCATGGAATCCTTGACAATTCGACGTGAACAATTGCTGTACCTATTTGCAGCCATGCAGCCGTTCCAAATCCTGAGCTAGGGATGCTTCAACCGAATCGGATCCCGAAGATACAGCATCACGCACGACAGATTTGCATGCTTGAACAATTCAACGAAGCAACCGCCTGCGCGAGACGCCTAGCCAGAACATGCGGACACCCGGACTCCTGGCCAGAACACATCGATAGTCAGCATAATACATACCTGGTGTGTTGGTGATGACTACCCAACTGGCAATAAATTTAAGTTTGCAATTTGGATTCACATCCAACTGTCAGTGCCTCATTCTTTACGCATCAGCCAGCAGGCCCACGCGGCACAACCAGTTTTCGATGCGCGAGTCGCAGGACCATCCGGATGCAACGCCTGAGCAGCGAGCACTGGCAGTGAGGCCCCAGCTCCGCTTCTGTCACAAGTGTGAGGGTTTCATAAACACACACACACACACACTCGCTGGCGAGCGAGTGGGCGTTGGTAAAAAATACATTGTTTCTCCTGGGGGTGGATACTGCTTAGGGCTTAGGGCGATCCCAGTTGCAAAACTTCATATGGGTTGCAAGGAGCGTGAATGCCTTGCAATGTGCCTTCGTTGTTGTCCGCAATGTCTTGCATTACCTTTTTCACTATACCCTTGCACTGCTTGTGCCATGCCAAGAAAACTCAACCTTTACCCTTGCGCATGTGCCGCATTTTTGTGTTTGTGTGACTCAAACGGTTCGATTGCGACTGTCCTTTTCAGAATTGCCCTAGTTTCGCATTTTGCCCAACGTGCTGGTCGTCCAGAGTTGCGGCCTTGCTTTGTATATAACGCATAGAACGCCAAAATCAAGTTGATGGCTCAAATGCCCAGATGAGTCCATACTAGGCAGAAGGGGGAGAAAGCCGTTTATGCTAGAACAACATGCCGTATGCCACTAAATCGTTGTTGGAGTCCGCGATTGGCTGTCATTGATTTGCTTTGGGTATATGGGTGTAATATCATTCGCACTTGCCTCCTGAGTATTGGGTTTGTGTGCATGTGTGTTTGCTTCTCCCTTGTATGTCTAGGGGTCCGCACCTGGAGATCAATGCTGTATGGGATGCCTGATGAGTCCCTTTCTTGCATGGTCCTTAAGGTTCCTCCTGCATCCTTTTGCCCTGTAATGTCCACCAGACTACCTTTGGGTCGAACGTTCGACGGTTCTCATTGGTGTCTTTGGAGCAACCTTGCAAAAGGGCAACGGAGCCAGTTTCCAGCGCCCTCTTGCGCCTCGGCTTGGGGCCTTTTGGAGTGAGCACATGCAGGAGCGAATGCGAATATAGCACAAACCGGCTATACTGAGTGTCCAGCTGGTTGTTGCAAGGGTCCCCCAAAAAGCAGGCAGCGTGGCCATGAGGTTTCCACACACCGAGCCGATCTTTCGAAAAGCCTCTCCTCACAGGTGCCTGGCTCTGCATGGCTCCGGCGAGGAGGAGGCCGTGGTGGCTCTAGTTCGAACACTCGCATTCACTTGGCAACTTGATGGTGGCTTTTTTCCCCTGGACGCTGTGTTTGAGCTGGTTGCCCACTAGGCCAACCTGCTTGTTTTCCTTCACAGGTCAGTTCAAGCTAAAGCCGATTGCGAACCATCCTAAACCAGCCCAGGCCGACCTAGTTTGGGCAAGGGCGGATAGCCATCAAGATTCTAAGTGTTGATTTTTGGCTGAGCACAATTGTCATTATGTAGCTTCAAAGGGACCGAGTTGGAGCAAGCAAGATTCAAATTTATGCCGCTGTTGGTAATGAAGAGCACTTCATGACATCTGCACAGTGCTTTGCACAGCTGCAGGCAATACCAGGCGATGTAGTTTGCTAGGCATTGTCATACCTCCTAAATGTCAGTATCTTGTCGGTGGGTGCTTTCGAGCAAAAGTATCGTGCGTGGAATTGGTAGAGTGTTGAATGAGTTGCATTGCCTGGTGTTGGTTCTATTTACGTGTTATGTATGTACCTGAGTGAAGCCCACTTTTAATATTGCAAGTAGAACAAGTTGCCCCCCCCCCCAGCCTGGCAACTGACTGCAACCTGCAGGTGATTCAGGCTCCTTATGAAATGTGCCCTACGTTGACATGAGACTAAGAGAAGTTAGAAACATCATGCAGGGTCGGATTTCTGGCACCAGCGGAAACACACAATTCAGAACGCATCGCAAATACAGTTGCCCCGCTTCCAACGATGCGCTTGACATGGAGAGCGGACACCGTTGATGCAGCATGCGCTGCGTTGCAGCTGTATAATGATCTTGTTTGCTCTCTGGATGCCATACCGCCTTGGCAAAGAAAGACCTAATTGCGATGTCCATATGTGCAAACAAGCCATGTTTGTTCAAGGTCTGCCACCGTCACATCTCACAACTCCCTTCATGTGGTTCGGGTAATCCAGTTTTTTAAATCAACCCCAAGCGGTTGGTGCCCTCACAACGGCACACGCGTATGGAGGCAATGACGTACTGGCCCTTCTTCTTGGAGCTCTTGAGGAGCTCCCGGCAGGAGGGATCCGGATCCAGCTTTCGGATGCACCACGTAGCTTGCCGTGCCCCGCCCACTTCTTGGTTTTGCGGTCGCCCCAAGCGATTCCATTCCCGACCCGCCCTTCAAAAGTCAAAAAGACAATTGCTGGGCTTGTTGCTTAGATGAAAAGAACATCTAAAGGTTTGTTCCATTGGTTATTTACCTGAAAGACGAGGTTTCCGGCACAGCCCGCCCACCTTCGTCAGTATAAAGTATATATTAAATATATATATATATACACATGTATTATGCAGTAAGTGCCAACAGGCTTCCTCAGGTATACGATATATTTATTTATGTATATAGTTAGCATTTGGACTTTGCGTCTCAACCATGCATGTTGAGGGTTCCGCCATTTAGAAGCAAGCCCATATTGCCCCGATTGACTAACGGAGCAGGTGGAGGCTGAGTTGCTTGATTTGTCCATGGCTGCTCTTCGATTGGGCTTTTGACCTCCATTTTGGGACGGGTGCTTTCCAACCAAACAAGCAAACAGCTGATGCAAGACTGTTTGGTTGATGATGTTTTGTGCGGGGGGAAAGGAATCTCGGAAATTGACAAGCACCCGAACTTTCCGTTGCTGCGACAGGATGACATCATAGAGACCTGCGGCCTCTTCCTCACCGACGTGCTGCTGCAACGCTGCGACCTCGATCTAATCGCATGATCTAAACTGCTAGAAAGAAGATCTGTTCAAGACTACAGCCCTCTTGAAAGCGCTGTGTCAGGCTGTCTCAAAATCGGCCACCTCCCCACCCCAAATGGTGAATTATGGTCTGCTTTTGGTTTCCCCTTTCAAACCTCTCCAACAGGGCTACTATATCCTCAAACCGCCGACACCCATACGAGTCACGCGCTCGGCCCGAGGCGACGGGCTTGGCGACGCCGCGCTCAGCGCGTGGCCCGCGCTACGCAGCGCAGCGCTCCGTGCTGCCCGGCCGCTGCGCAGGACTGGGCCGTTGGCCAGTCGGTTCCCTCGCGTGAGGAAGGGACCTGGTGCAATCAACGTCTTCCCCAAAAGGGGTCGGTCGAAGGGGCTTGACTGACATGGGTTCATTGCTTGGGTATCATGTTTAGGTGCAGAGGAGGGGGGGTAGTAACCGCTGTAACCCGAGTTATAACCTTATAAAGATGGCAAGTGGTTTATGACTATTCTAAGGGTTTTGTATTACACCCTGCGAATACATCCACTGGGTATTGACCCCATTTAGGCACATTTCCGGACAAAACCGCGCTATTTTGAACCATTCTGGGTCATTTCCCAAGGGTGCAATCCCAGGTTGTAATACAAAAACCCTCAGAACCGTGGTTACTAGCCACATAATAAGTAATGTGCCCTGTTGTTAAGTGAGTCAGAATCAACTGGATTGGGCGGCAATCCCCCAGCACCATGACCGGTTTAAGTAGAACCAAGCCAAAGGGTTCTTTCTCATGTTCAATGGTGAGAGTGTATAGCTGCGTGGTTCGTTTTGATGGTGCCCTTTTTATGCTTCTTTCTTCCAGGGGGTTGCTCCTTGTGTTGCCAGCCGCTGACTTATAAAGTCTTTTGCCGGAAAGCATTTGAGAGGAAGCTGCCGAAATGCTATCGGCATTTTTGATCACAATTGCCCTTGGCCAATCGGGGTGTTCACCTGTACCCGAGTTCTGTAGAACCGAGGCAGGCAGACAAGATGAATCAGAACTGCCTTGGAACATGTGAATTGAAGCTTCCGTTTGCTCAGCTTCGCTGTTTCAGCCATCAAAATAGCGTCTCAGAGCAGCCAGACTTTTATGCACTCGCCATTTCGGTCGCACTCAGGCGCCTTGCGGAGCGTTTGATGACGCTGTTGCTCTACAGCGCGCCAGGGGAGGTGCGACACTCGGGCACAGAGAAACCCATAGAAGACTTTTGCTTGGCGCTTCAAGCGCAGATGTCCTCGAGGACCACAGCTGTCTTCCAAACTCGGCCACACCTCACAGGTTGCTCAATGACCCACAAGGGGGGCCAAAGGAACGCTGGGCCTCGGAAGGCCTCCTTGGGTTTGCCTAGATGTCCGGTTTCGAAAGTTCACCTTCCGGGGGCACCTCAGAGTCTCCCTGCGAATGTGCTACAGGGGAAATGTGGGGAGCCCTGCTTGAACGGCAAAAACTTGAGCACACAAACTAGCAAGCCTCTGAGTCATGAAACTATAAAACCCTGGGCAACCCTGGCTCATCCTGGTAAGCGTGTGTCTTTTCTTCTTGGGGGACCCCAAAATGTTGGTAAAAGCCGAACTAGAAGAAGCGTACCCCCCGGGAAAGGCCACGCGTGTATGGGTGTGTCTCAAATAGGGGACCCCCCGAAATGAAGGTGTTCCTTTCGGTGTTCTTTCAACACCACAAAACATGGGTACCCCCCAAAAAACGACGCATCCATCCATAATCAAACCCGGCGAACGCGGGTCGTTGTTTTGCGGATCGGATGCCACTCAGGCGGAGATAGAGGCAAGCTGGTCCCTGGCCTGGCTCATGTTGGAGGCGGCCTTCGATTCAAACTCAGGGCTGACAGGCTCCAACTCGGGATACACACAGACCCACAGACCCACACGTGTTATTTTGAGGGTGTTTGCGTCCTAACTTGAGGTCGGAGGTCAGAGTGACTGAGGGACTGAGGGACGTCGTATTGAGGTTGTCAGTTTGCAGCACGTTGGCAGGCAGCCCGCCCCCAGGACGTTCCCCCCATTATGGCTGGATCCATCGGAAAAGAGGAGCCTCAAAATGGAGCCGTTTTACGTCAGCAAAGTCAGAGGACGGGGATGCATGCTGGTGCACAGTCCCGCCCTTTCGACTTGTGGCAAGACTCCTCCCAGTCTAGCAGCTTACATTTCACTACGTCCTTTGACAGATACCCTTTTTCCAAGCTTCCAAATAGGAAACTGAACAGGTATTATGATGAAGTATGTGTACTGTACCAAGACCATTTGTGCCATATGTTGTTCGTATTTCCCCTGTACTCAAGATGCTTTGTGTTTGCCCCCTTATTTGTGTGAAGGGGACATTGTCATTGCCTGTGACCATGCTATCCTTGACCGGCACCTGAGGCACGGGCAAGTGGTTTGGTTTTGATCGGTAGCTCCTCTTTCCCTGGAGCCTCGTGAGCTCTTGATCGGCCTTTCGCATGCACAGGTTCCGGTGTTACTTATTATTGAAGGATACATTATATTTGGCTATGCTTGGTAGGCACCTTTTAAACTATGGCGGGATTCATGCCTGGTGAGTGGTATGATTTTTTTGTAGGCTTCAAAAGGTCCTGATATGGAAGTGTTTTGACCAAATACTTGTAGAAGCTGACTTCTCTTCAGGACCATGTTCCGGTTCAGTTTTTGAAGGGTTCGAACACCTTTCTTGGTTGTTTGTATTTGTTTTCTTCGGTTGCCCTCCCGGGCTGAGTACCTGATTCGAAGGCCCCCACCATTTGAGGAAAATGGCAACCAGGGACCTCCAGTTGAAGCTGTAGTGAAAACATAACTGCAAAAAAGGAGGTAAAGCAAATCTGCGGTTTCTTCCCAATGACCTTTCTCAGGATTTTGTTCCCAGCGAAACGAACCTCAACTTGGTGCGCCGAAAATGCGCAGGCCTTCCACACGGAGCCGGAGGTGTGTCAAGCACTGGACCTAGAGGCGACAAAAAGCCGGTTCATTCGTATGGCTGGACATCGTTCTCTTGTGTGGGTGACGTTTTTGTGGGTCAGGTGTCAAAGAGTTTGTATCCCGTTTATGGGCGGGGCTGGTGTTGGTATCATGGTTTGGGGTGCGTTTGTTCGGAGCCGGTGCCATTTTAGGGTTTGCCTTTGTTGGAGGTAGCCAAATTTGGACCCTAAACATCGATTGGCTGTTGATTCGCTAGTGCACAAATGAAGCTCGCAACGCGATGGCCCAGGGGTTTGGATTTTCGGGAAAATGGGTTCCCAAGTGGCAAATGAGGGGAGAGAGGAAGATGCGGGTATGACAATTGGATGCAAGTCGAGATAAGTCCATCAGACTGGCTGAGGAACTAGCTTCGTTCTTTTGAACCCATCCAAATGGCTGTTCAGCGTCCTAAACAATGCCAACCAGCATACCGTTTGTAGCTCGTGTTTACACCACCCTAAATGATTACGGTTGAAGGCGGTATCTGACAGATACATTTGACTGTGTAGAGTCTTGCCGCTTGTGTTTTGGCAATTTCGATGTTGATGAAATTGGTTGAAGCCATTTGCCAGTTGCGAGGACAGAGCTTCGGGGCTCACGGGCTTTTGATGAGAGGCATTGAGGCAGAAAGCCATGGGTGATATGAGCTTGGCGCAGGCTGCGGAGGAAGCCTGTGCCCCAGTACCGTTGGCGCCCCTGAAGCTCAAGCAACGTCAGATGTGAGAAGAGTCAATGAATAGAACGGAGGCATGCGGCAAGACATGGTTGGATCATTGAGAGTCATTCCATAGTTCTTTGACGTTATGTGTTTGAGGGTTTAGTTGTACAAAGACCCCTGACCACATCGGGACTCTGAGCGCCATTCGCTGCTTCGACTACCGAAAGAAGGTTCCTGTTGTTAGCACTTGCCTCGAGTCGCAAGCTGGCCTTGTACCTTCGGCGCAAAGGATCGCATACATACACGCAGCTTGTATTGGCCATATATTGCTGGATTTTGGATGAGCATCTTCCGTGTTCGGCAGTCACACATCGAGATGTGTATGTGTTTCCGTATCGCCCTGTCCAGCTATGTATGATTTTGTAAAGCATCGACTTATTGTGAAGTCGTGCACACCGTGAGGCTGCCTTTAGGGGACGGCTGCTGTGCTTCTTCGGCGACTCGGACAGCGGCCAAAGAGAGAGAGAGCGAGAGAGAATAGCGATTAACTCATTTGTCTACGGGCAAAGGCATGCCGGCAGGCGACTTTTGGCCATGGGACCGCGCTATTTGTGGCTTTCCAGGTCCCTTTCTTCGCACTGGGTTGATTTCTGATCTACAGTTTGACCATTTCGGCCATGTCAGCTCTTGTCTTTTGCTCAACGTTTTGAAGATCATGCGTCCAATCTGCTGCAGGTCGAGAAAGCAACTTTAGCTTTCGGTTGCTACTTTGATGTATGGCAGGCCAGCCCTGCCTGCATATTCCCGCTGCCTCAAATTCTGGGGATGCTAGAAAGCTTCCTTCAGTAAGGTGATTCTACCCTCCGCCACTTACGAGCAGGGCACTTGGCAGATAGCTTCTTCGAAAGGCAACCTTCACATTTCCCGAGCCATGCGTTGAACGGAATTTCCAGCTGGGCGAGGGCGCCTTGGATACTTCGGCATACGGCAAGCAAGCAACCAACCACCGCCCCAAAGAGATAGCACCTCCCAGTGTCACGCGAGTATGGGGCTAAGCCCAGGAACTTCAGTGGAAAGTTTCAACACGGCACATCTCACACACACACACACTCACCAAAACCAACAACTGCACAGGCTCGTGAGCATCAAGTCAGTGGCTGAATAAGCCTTCATCTTCTTTGCCAAATACTCAACTCAGGTGCCCAAAGCCGACCCTTTGACCGTTTCGTTTTCCACTAGCTGTATATACCATTGAACCCCAGGGTCCGGTGGTTTGCTAATGGAAGCCATGCAAACCATACAGCAGAGCAAAAACAGATGGCATGATTCCCTTGATGTGGCTGTGGACAAGCAACGGGGATGACTGAACCAAGACAAGGGAACTGAGTCATCTACTTTCACCCAACTGGAGATTCCGGCTCAACCAGGCTGCTTCCTTCTCACAACTTACGCACTAAGAGTAAAACAGCCCCCCAAGAACAAGCTTTTGGCATTGGCCTTATATGACATACATATATCCCCTGTCTTCGGGGGGTGATTTGGGGATGGTGGTGTAATGTGTGGGTTGGAAATTTGAGTTGGTGTTAGTATACTTAGGTGTTCGGTGTTGGGGTTAGTACCGGCATTGGGATCAATCCCAGTGCTTCCGGATACCACTCTCGTAGGTAACCAGGGTTCATTACCTCCAGATGTACTATGATGGTTTCCCCTGGTTATCTATAGTAGTGTCTGGAAGCAGTGAATGAGATTCCAAAAGCCCCCCCCCCCAATAGCACGGGCCTATGACCTTTATATATATCCTTTGGCTTCTGAAATTCCGACGCCTTCCATTCGCCTCAGGCTGCCTGGGCCGGGCCTCCGTTGCACACGCGCGGCTGATGGCGCGGGCGCTTCAGCTGCTCCTCAGCACCGCCTGGAGACCCAAACTGCGCTACACTTGAAAGGGGTGTGTGTGTGTGTCCTTTTGAGGGTACCCTGTTTGCGTTTATACTGAAGGTAAACCACAAGGAAAAGTACAACATGTTTCTTAGTCGTCTTTTGGAATAGATGGGTTCTTGTACCTTCTTCATGCCAAGTTGAATCCAGAACCCATCTGTTTAGCTGAGAGCGTCCGGACCTGGCATCCGAGCTTCGTTGGAGTGGGGTAGGTTGGCACTCATGTGGGTATGTGTTTTGCTCACTTAAACACCCTGGTGTATAGGGTTCGACCACGTCGAAGGTCCCATGCTATCGGTGAATGGCAGACACACCTTTGGGTGGCTCGTCTTTTTTGGAGTTGGTACCCCTTTTTCGTGGTTTCAAAGAGAATCCAAAAGGAAAACCATCATTTTGGGGTGTCCCTTAAAAAAACGATACACCCATATACAGATTGTGCTACGAAATTTGGGCTTGCATTTTGCCGCAATTGTTGCAAACCCGGTCAATTGAACAGACTGTTGGGACACATGGTGGATTCCAACAACCACAGCACTATATTGAAACAGGGGAATACTTGCGTGTGTGTTGGCGTGTTTACCATTCATGAAAGCAAGCATCCAGATATTGCTGCTTTTTCAGGATGACCCCACAAATCGCTGCGTTCCTCCTCCTTGCAGCTTTCAACAAACAGCATCACGCTTTGTGATGCCAATCTTAGATCATACTCTGTCGTGTGTGTATTTCCCACTTGGACTGCTTAGCAAGTCTTGTGATTCCTGCTGTGAACAGCACGGACACGTCTGTCAGTTTTTGAGATCATTCCTTCCCCACTCAAAACGGTTCCCATGCAAAAAGAAGTGCCCCCCCCCCCCCCGCTTTTCTCATCAAACTTCCAAGTCCCGGGATTTTAAGGCAAAGGAATCCCCTTTGAACTGACAAAGTTGGGGGTTGGGAATCCCACAAATCGGGATCACAGAAAGGGATCCTTTTTCCATACTTTGTGCCGTGGCTTCCCTCCAACAGAAAGGTTTGTTAGAGCTGGGATTGGCGCCACGTTTGTTGAGCCGCAATCAAACCATCCAAAGAAGCGTTTGGGTCAAGAGGAGGAGTCTGGTGATTGTTTGGTGTTCTTTATCTGGACCAAGAGGAACTTTTAGCAGACCCTATGAAAGGCCGACATTGGCTCCAGAATGCTTTGAGCCTTTCAATTTCAGTCCTTTGCTACATCCAACCTCTGTTGAATGCAACAAAACTCAGGGATCTTGAGTCTAAATCCTTCCAATCCTAACTCCTCCCCCCCTCCGCTAGGGTTGGATTATTGCTCGCAGCAAAACCTCAGTCAGGCAGCCCAAGAGGCACGGGCTGAAGCACCGAGCCGAGGACCTCTGGCGCTTGGGTGCCCTGCAACCTCTCGCTTCAGGTCCTCGAGGCCCCGATGGCTCGCTCCTTCGCTTTGGAGTCGGTACCCCAGGTGGGTACCCCAGGTGGGTTTTTTTGGAGGCAAAACTTGGACCCAGGAGAGGAAGGAGTCCATGGTTTTTTTTCATTCACCAGGGCTTCAAATTTGGGCTCCGGTGTTTGACCCACAGCCATGTTCCGTGGTGTCAAAGGGAAATCAACAGGAAAACCCAGCAATTTGGGGGTCGGGACAGTAAAACGGGGCACGCTCAGATGGGGATTTGTCCACGCACTTCTGAGGTGGTTTTCCCGCAGAGGCTTTCCTTGGTTTTCCTGCTGTTTTTTTGTTTTCTCCTTTGTTTTTCTTCTGATGTTTTCTCAGTGGTTTCCCGCGTTTTCCTGAACTTACCTGTTGAGTGGGCAAAATGGCACAATCTGTTAGTTGGCAGTTGTGGCGAGCAGTTTTCCATGTCCTCCTGGCCGTGAGGCCAGAAAGTTGAGGAGCCACCAAAGTTGTTCCCTTTTGGCTTCCCCTAAACGAACGTCCAACCGGGGGGAGGGGGGGGATATGCCCACCCAAGGCTCATTCAAGTCTGAGTCTCTGGAGCAATCTTCCGTGTCGAAGACAGGACCGGCCTGAAGAAACATGTCGACATAGGCAATAGATTCACAGCTCGGCTCACCCTTTCCTCACCCCACGGAACCTGACAAGTCCTTTCAGGAAACGTGGCTGGGGATGGTGCCGCTGAGTATTCGTGTTGCAGGAAGCCACTGCCACTCGACTCCACCCGCCACCCTACTTGCAACGTCTCCACTGATTTCTGCCCGCACATTGGGAGTTGTGTGTGTAAACTTGGGCCGAGTTAAGATACAAGTAGACCATGGACCCTCTAGACCAGGGAGGGCTTCCCTTTCCTTCTGGGAAGTGTTTTAGCAACCTGACATGCCAGGGGTTTACGACATCGGGCCCAAGATCATTTAGTTCCTTTTTTGGGGGTTTGTTTCATATTTCAGCTCGTTGACTTATCGTACATCGCACGGAAGATATATTATCTTTCTGTGAGATCCCTGATTCAAGGGCTGGTGAGTTGTCTTGATTGTGGTTCATGCTTGCTTTGTGCGCATGATGGGTGCCGAGACACCAAAATTGTACTGTAAGGCGCTCGCGTGTCTTCAGTCGCAAGTCAAGCGAGTGTTGGGTAATTTGGCCCAAGCGAGAGCGAAGAACAGAGGTGAGCAAAACTACCCATAAGTTCCGGCTGCAATTGTTGAGCAGCAACACTGACATATGTGGGATGTTGTACCGGCAAAGTTAATCGTGGATGGCGGCCACAGCTGTAGCCGCAGAGCTCGCATGGCAGTGTTTGTAGCATTTGTTCATGTCTTTCCAGTCGATCCAAGACTGGCAGATAACCTCCATCTAGTCAGTGCGGTAGTCAGTGATGCCCCCCCCCCGAAACTGTAGTACAGCAGCAACGTGACAAGCCTTGCGAATATCAGCACCACTCATAGCCAACCAAATGTCAAGAGACCCAGCGTCAAAAAGCCTGACCTGCGAATACCCTCACAAACTGTATTGCTTGCCGGATCCAACATGAAGACATCTTCATCCGGCAAAGCGAAAGGATCTTTGCGAGCAATCACACTGGGAGCAGGAGTTTTAGTAGTGCAAATCCATTTCTTGACAACAAACGAGGAGAAATACGGATTGTCTTCCAGTTGGCAATGCAAGTCACAACGTCTTCAAGAGTGAAGTAGATTTTGCTGAAAAGGTTGGTTTCTGCTGGTTTCCCTATAGCCGACCGAGAAAAAAAAAAAAAAGCGGTTCCGAATCCCATTTTGAGAACTGGGGCTTTTGGCTTCCGAGCCAGGCGCCCAGTGGCGTTTGGTGCATATGCCCCGCCTGGTGCGCCTGGTGTGCCAACAGCTGGCGGCCTCCTGCCCGGGGCCCCACCCCGTTGGGCCCGGGGTTGGCTTCGCGCGACAAATTCGGGGGGTTGGCTTAGCCCCACATTTTTGCCAGGGGATCCGTGGAAAAGCAGGATTCCATCCACCCCTTTTTTTTCCCAGAGAAACGCTAATCTTCTAGAGAAATCGCGGGGTTTGTTTTCAGGACGATGGTTGAAAGGAATGGGAAATGAAGCCCTAGATAAATGGGTGCACGTGTTGATGTCTTTTGGGATTCCTGGGATTTGCGCTGGTTGGGATTTCCTTTGTAGCTGCTTAACAGAACCATGGAAGGCAAACCCGTTGCCATAGTTGGCTTCGAGAAGACATCGCATGCACAGGTGGGAGTCGTTCAATATCAGTTGGGTTGAAAATAGATGATCTTCACCAGTTTTACTTTGGATTTTCCAGTAGAATCCAGCACTGAACTTCCCCATGGGTTTTCTCAAAGTCACCACCCAAGTCCCCACCCACCCACCCACCCACCCACCCGCCCGCCGCCCGCCCGCCCGCCCCGCCGCCCGCCCGCCCGCCCGCCCGCCCGCCCGCCGCCGCCCGCCCGCCCGCCCGCCCGCCGCCCGCCCGCCCGCCCGCCCGCCCACCCACCCACCCACCCACCCACCCACCCACCCACCCACCCACCCACCCACACCCCAAAAAAGGACACCTACGGCCTACGGCTTGCCGCCTGAGGCGCCGCCAGGCGGCAAGCGGAGCACTTGGCGGGGTTCTGGCTGGAGCAGATCTGGCGGCCGCTGGCCTTGCTCTGCCCGAAAGCTCAGTTGGGGGGGTTCTGACACCTGGTGTGGTTGACTTATGCTAATTAATTATATTCTTGATTGCTTCTATTCCATTGTCACCACGTATGTTTGTTTGTTGGCGGAAGCCCCCTTTTGGTGTTGGCAGTTGAAGGGAAACCAAGAGGAAACCAGCCCTTTCAGGGGATTGTGAGTTCGAGAAACACCCAGTTGGGCATGGCTCGTGGGACAAAGCAGCGAGGCTAAACGGGAGAAAGGGTGGAAGCGAGTATAGACCATTTGCGCACAAGGCCATGCAGGATTCCTGATACCCATGGTTAGTGCAACAACTGGAGGTTGTCCTATTTGACAGGGGATCCAGTTATGACCCGGTAAGAGACCCTGATTATTCAGCAGCAGCGTGTTTATCCGAATCACGTCTTAGTCAAAGATGTCTGGAAGCTCGCGACCGATGGGCTTTGGTTTGCTGTGATGTTTGTTGAGTTATGATTCACCCAGAAGTATCGTCCTTGCCGGACTCATGTCAGAGGATTGAGATCTGCCATGGCCAGAGAGCTGGGAGCCTTCCGCTTTTAGACGGAAGCAAAAGGAAACACCCATCCGTTGTTCCCCTACTGAGACCAAGCAAGATGGAGGTGTATTATTTTGAGTTGTTGTTTACAAAAGGCATCCTCAGCCACCCACCAACCCAAAGCCTGCCAGCCCCGGCGCCCCACGCATGGTGGGAAGTAATTCAGGCATCCCTTCCCACAAATTATAACTAAGGCAGCTCCCCTCCAAATAAAGTATCCGTCTGGGCGGAACAATATTGATTGACAGGGTACGTCTCGCTCCCCGAGTTCCAGTTCTTGAAACTTTTGGGTTTTGACCATGTTAGTTTAAAAATGTGTTTGGACTTTTTCTGACCACTTGGGAAGTGAGACATGACTTCCATTTGCTTAAGAAGAAGAGTTTAATTTTCCCTGTTGGTTTTAAAGGGAATCTATCACTACTGGACACATTGATTTTTTTGTCCGTGAGACTTAAGCTAGGTCCCCAGTAGTGCCCTTTTACCTTTTTTTTTGGTTTTGGGTTCCTTGCCAAAATAGACAACAGAAAAAAACATCGGGTACCAACTTATTCTAACCTCTCTACTGGAGGACCTAGCAAGGGCTCTCCCTTAAACAACAACCAGCCAAAAAAACAGGAACCCTGTAAACCCTCTGCAACCCCCAGGTCTCCTGACGACTAAAAAACCAGGGGACTTAAGCAACTGGAGGCTTCAGTTTCTGAGGCCTGGACTCGGCAGAAGACTCCTCGCCGCTGCTGGCGGAGCTGTTGGCGGCGATCAGCGCGCCGCTGCTGCCGGCGGCGGGGAAGGCGCCTTTGGCGGCGGCCAATCAGCTGTGGCCGCGCCTGAAGCAGGAGGCGCCCCAAGAAAGGGCCAACTCCTGGCCTCGGGGCCTCTCAAAGGTTTTTTCCCCATGAAACGGGAAGACTCGTTTTTTTCTCTGTTTTTTTTTGCCCATGAAACGTGAGGAATCTGTTTTCTCACTTGCCTCAGATCAATTCCCCCTTCTCTTTTGGACCTTGCAAAGTGGACCAAGTGGCCTCTCACTGTTGGCCCCCGAAGCTTCTGTGTTTCGAACTCGTTGTTGACCGCACTCACTTTTGGGCCCCTCAATTTTCCCTATTCCAGATTTAACGCACTAAACACGGTAGCTGAGTTTGTGCCAGGTTGTCGAGTCCTGCCAAGAGATCGAGAAGACGTGCAAGTCTACTAGAGATGCCGCGGCTTGGCTTGCTACCTGGTATCCTAAGCAATTGTAGATGAACAGGGGGCCATCCGGTGTGCATATAGACCTTCAGCGGCGCCCTTTGTGTTGTTCTTTTCAGGGGGGGTCCCTTTAAACACAAGTACAAAGAAAAGGCCCTTTTCTTTCATGGCTGCTGCAGGTCTAGGTCACTGAGCTGCTTGCAAGTTGTTCTTTGGACACGCTACAGATATTTTGCCACTTTCAAGTTGGAGTTAAGTTACCCACCACTTGCCAAGAGGGATGACTGTAGCGATGATTTGCCTGCGGCGGGGCTGTGTCTTAGTTTGGGCAGGGCAGACGGTTCTGGAACAGCTGAAAATCACGGACTTCAGCCTTTTTGCTGCCCTGTGTATGTCGCATTCAGAACGGCTTAGGGCGGCTAGCATGAAGTGTCAAGCAACTAGTATGACGCTGATATGTTTAGTCACTCAAGCACCAGTCCAACGTCACGTTTCAAAGGTAGCATGATAATTTGTTGTCCTGAGTTTGTTTCAACAAGCGCTCTTATTGGGATCTGAACCAGAGAAGCATCTTGAAGTTCAATACCATCAATGGCAGTTGTCCAGTTGAGGAGCACCTGAAACTTGTTTGTAGATTGTTTGCTCAGCCATGCGGCGTTATATTTCGTGGATATGAATGCGCTCATGAGACGACAAAGAATTGGTTGATCGTTACTTCAGTCAATTGTTTGCCTAGGTCCTCCAATGGTGCTGGCAGTCGTTTTTCCCTGAAAGCTTGGTAGCTAAAGTAGGCTATATCCATTATATCCACACGAGTACAACTTGCCATTCTTGGGAGACGGGAGCCAGGGATGTCACACCTGTTGGCAGCTGGGTCCTAAGGTCAACACACCCCCACCCTCACATACGGCACCAACAGCTTCCTAATTGAGTTCAACTAGGTTTCTAAGCGCAAAACAGGGTATATCCCCTTTTGACATATATATATATATATATATGTGTGAGAGACCTCTAGGTAATATTTGTCCCTGCTGGCTGGCAAGCCAAGAATTCCAGGAGCTCCAGGAATTCCAGAGACAAACCCTTGAAATTCTTAGATTTTTGGAATTCTTAAAATCCTAGAATTAATTCTAAGAAATCTAGTAATTCCAGCTGGAATTATTCCACTTTTTAGAATCAATACTAATAGTTCCATTTGGAACCATTAGAATTTACAGAATGAATTCCAAGATTTGAATTATTCCAATAGGACTTTTTAGAATTCGTAGATTTTTCCATAAATTGGAATAACTCCAATAGGAATTATTAGAATAAAAAATTGTTAGAATTCTTGCAATTCTTGCCTGGCCAGCATTCCCTTGCAATTCTGTTTCTGTTTTTTTTGGAATTCTTAGAATCCTAGAATCAATTCTAAGAACTCTAATCATTCCAATTGGAATTATTCCAATTCCTAGAATTAATTCTAAGGTTTCTAATAATTCCAGTTGGAATTATTCCAAATAATAGAATTGATTCTAATAATTGGAATAGTTCCAAGTGGAAGTAATAGAATTCTTATCTTGAATTCTGGGAATTGGAGTAATTCCAATTGGAGTTATTAGACCTCTTAGAATACATTCTAGGAAGTTGAATATTTTCGATAGGAAGTCATAGAATTATTGGAAAATCCTTGCCGGGCCAGCATTCCCTGGCAATTCTGTTTCTGGAATTTTTGGAATTCTTAGAATCCTAGAATTAATTCTAAGAATGCTAATAAATCCACTTGGAACTATTCAATTTTCCTAGAATTAATTCTTTCCAATTCTTAAAGTTCATTCTAAGAATTCCAATAATTCCAACTGGAATTATTCCAATTCCTAGAATCAATTCTAAGAATTCTAACAATTCTAATTCTTAGAATTAATTTTAGGAATTGGAATACTTCCAATTGGATTATAAAAGTTCTTAGAATTAATTCTAGGAATTTGAATAATTCCAATTCGAATCATTCGAACAAGGAATTCTCAAATTCTTGGAATTCTTGCCTGGCCAGCATTCCCCGTTTCTGGAACTTTTGGAATTCTTAGAATCCCAGAATTAATTCTAAGATTTCTAATAATTTTAATTGGAATTATTCCAAATCTTAGAATAAACTCTAAGATTTCCAATAATTCCAATTGGAAATTCTAGGAATTGGAATGATTCCAATTGGAATTATTGGACATCTTAGAGTTATTGGAAAATCCTTGCCTGGCCAGCATTCCCTGGCAATTCTGTTTCTGGAATGTTTGGAATTCTTAGAATCCTAGAATTAATTCTAAGAATTCCAATACCAGGAGCCTCAAAACCGATGAAAATGTCATACCTACAAAAAACACGAGGTTTTTTGGGAAAACACGATGTTTTCGGGAAACACGGCATTTTCGATTTCAAGCATTTTCCCATACATTCCTTCAACTCGTCATCCGTTCTCAAAAGATCTCAAAAGCATTATGTCAACCTCAGAATCTCCCATTGCCCTCCCCTTTTGCGCTCGTAACGAAATCAGCTTCGCATTCGCCACTCGTCTTTCGCAACTCCAATCTGAAAGAAGGAGGCCGGGGACCCAAATAGTCAAAAGTACCACGGTTTTATGACACTTGTCAAGCAGCAATGCCACGTGCTGGCTTCGAACAGCGCGCAAGCTGAAGCAAAGACTTTTGCTCACGACTTCGTTGTTTTCCGGCAACGATCTCGAATTAGCGCATTCGTGGTTGAACCCGAAAAACCCATAGAATTTCCACGGTTTGCCACACTTTACTACGGGTTTTCCACGGTTTAGCTACGGGTTAGAAAACACGATGTTTTCCAAAAACACAATGTTTTCGGTTGGGGCTGCGGGTTTTCTATGGGTTTCTACAGGTTTTCTCTGGGCTTCTACGGGTTTTCTACGGTTTTTCCGGTTAGCCGCCAGGATCCCGCCCCGTTTTCCAAAAACAACTCAAAAAACATAAAAACAATCTCAAAAGGTGTCACCTGGTCTTGTTTTGCATTAAAAGGAGCTTTGGGATTCCAGCACCCCCTTCAAACTGGTTCGGTATGACCTGGCCCTAGTCTTCAGGTGCCTGTTGCTGTGAAGGTACTTAAAAACTGAAGCCAGCTGCACACCCTGGCTCTCAGGCTCATCAATGTGGTCCTTAGAATTTGAAGCATACTCAGCATAGAGCGTTGCCCTCAGTTGAAATCTTAATGGGTGATGCCTGTGTGACTGCCACTCCCGACCCTTGCCTTTGACCAAATGAGTGTTTGGCCTCAGAAGCCAATTTTAAAGGGTTTTATCAAAAACAATGTTTTTCCTGAAAACACGATGTTTTTAGAAAATCGAGCAAAAACAAAATGTTTCAGTCAGGGTACGACATTTTTTCAGGTTCTTGAAGCCCTAGGTAATTCCAATTGGAATTATTCCAATTCCTAGAATTAACTAAGAATTCTAATAATTCCAATAATTCCTAAAACTAATTCTAAGATTTCTAACAATTTCAATTGGAATTATTCCAATTTTATTGGAAAATCCTTGCCTGGCCAGCATTCCCTGGCAATTCTGTTTCTGGAATTTTTGGAATTCTTAGAATCCTAGAATCAATTCCAAGAATTCTAATAATTCCAATTGGAATTGTTCCAAATCTGAGAATTAGTTCTAAGAATTCCAATAATTCCAAATGGAATTATTATAATTCCTAGAATTAATTCTAAGAATTCTAATGATTCCAATTGGAATTATTCCAATTCTTAGAAATATTGGAAAATCCTTGCCTGGCCAGCATTCCCTGGCAATTCTGATTCTGGAATTTTTGGAATTCTTAGAATCCTAGAATTAATGCTAAGAATTCTAATAAGTCAAATTGGAATTATTCCAATTCCTCATAATTCCAATTGGAATTATTCTAATTGTTAGAATTATTCTAAGAATTCTAATAATTCCAATGGGAATTATTCTAATTCCTAGAATTAATTCTAAGAATTCTAATAATTCCAATTGGAATTATTCAAATTCTTAGAATTATTGGAAAATCCTTGCCTGGCCAGCATTCCCTGGCAATTCAGTTCTTGGAATTTTTGGAATTCTTAGAATCCTAGAATTTAATTCTAAGAATTCTATTAATTCCAATGGGAATTATTCAATTTCCTAGATTGGAATTATTCTAACTCCTAGAATTAGTTCTAAGAATTCCAATAATTCCAATTGGAATTATTCCAACTCTTAAAATTATTGGAAAATCCTTGCCTGGCCAACATTCCCTGGCAATTCTGTTTCTGGAATTTTTGGAATTCTTAGAATCCTAGAATGAATTCTAAGAATTCTAAAAATTCCAATTGGAATTATTCCTAGAATTAATTCTAAGAATTCTAGTAATTCCAATTGGAAATGTTCAAAATTTTAGAATTCATTCTAAGAATTCCAATAATTCCAATTGGAATTATTCTAATTCCTGGAATCAATTCTAATAATTCTAATAATTCCAATTGGAATGATTCCAATTCTTAGAACTATTTGGAAATCCCTGCCTGGCCAGCATTCCCTGGCAATTCTGTTTCTCGAATTTTTGGAATTCTTAGAATGCTAGAAGTAATTCTAAGAATTCTAATAATTCCAATTGGAATTATTCCAATTCCTAATAATTCCAATTGGAATTATTCCAAATCTTGGAATTAATTGTCAATTTGAATAATTCTAATTGGAAAAATTCTATTTCCTAGAATTGATTCTAAGAATTTTGGAATTATTCCAATTCTTAGAAATATTGGGAAATCCTTGCCTGGCCAGCATTCCCTGGCAATTCTGTTTCTAGAATTTTTGGAATTCTTAGCATCCTAGAATTAATTCTATCAATTCTAATAATTCCAATTGGAATTATTCTAATTCCTGGAAGTAATGCTAAGAATTCAAATAATTCCAATTGGAATTATTCCAAACCTTAAAATTAATTCTATCAATTCCAATAATTCCAATTGGAAATATTCAAATTCCTCGAATTAATTCTAAAAATTCTAATAA